ATAGGAATGCCCGGAGATAGAGAAATAGAGAAAAATAAGGCCTCCCCACAACATGGCAATGAGAGAGCTTGGATTCGGTCTGCCTGATTAGGCAATAAGCACCAGCAGGCAGCTGGACCAGAGTATGAGCTGCAGGTCACCGAAGATAGGCACGAATCAACATCAATAAGTCTCCCCACAATACGGCAATGAGAAGGCTCAGATTCGGTTTGCCTGATTGGTAGGGCTTCTAAGCACCTGCAGGCAGTTCTAGCAGAGCAGAGCATGCGCTGCAGGGCACCGAACACAAGCACGCATCAGCGCCTAAAAACCTCCTCACAACATGGCGAAGAGAGGACCCGGACTCGGTTTGCCTGACTGGTAGGGCTTGTAAGCACCTGTGGGCAACTCTAGCAAGCAGAGCAGAGTGTGTGCCGCGGGGCACCGAAGACAGGCGCGTATCAATGCCAAAAGTAAAAAGAAAGGGGGAATTGTGGGGAGCAACTCGGACTAGACTAAGTTACTGGAATTAAGACTTATTCTATGCATCTGCTCTCCCACATGGCGCTGGGAGAGGAGTAAACAGCTTCTACACAGCTGCCTCCAGTTCAACCAATAAACTGTAGGACCTGCTCCTGATTGGAGGAGAGCAGCGTACTCGGCATGTGGGTAGCAGAGTTGGGATTGGTGGAAGAGGACTATAAAGGAGGAGAGAGACAACATGCACCAGGAACATCTATCTGAAGGAACACCTGAGCAGCCCCCGAGAGAGCCGGCCGGTGGTGTGCCGCTCCCCCGCGGAAGTGGGGAAAGTGGCCGGGGGAACCGCCCTTCCACGGAGGTGGAAGGATGGTAGCCAACCCGGGAAGGACCAGCAGCAAACCCGGGGAGGGCTGAGCAGACAAAAGAACAGCGCAGGGTCCTGTGTCGTTCCTCTGCGAAGAAGGGGAGCGACAACAGCCGAGACTTAAACTGGCACTACCTCTAAAAAGCTGGCATCACAATCAATGGCTTAACCCAATGCACCACAGCAACAGCCTTTACTACATTCTTCTTCAGAAGAGTCTGACTTCTTGTCCTTTTGCTCTTGCATATAAATTTTGGGCCAACTTATAAAGTTCTACCAAAAAATATATTGAGCTTTTGGTTGAAGTTATATTTTAACTGAATCAGTAGATCCTTTTTTTAAAAAAAGATTCATTTACTTATTTGAAAGTCAGAATTAGAGGGAGAGGCAAAGAGAGATGTTGCTAGCTAGCTCACTGGCCAGATGACTGCATTGGCCAGGGCTGAGCCAGGCCAAAGCCAGGGGCCAGGAGCTTTTTCTGGGTTTTGTGTGGGTATGGGGGTCCAAGCACTTGGGCCATCTTCCACTGCTTTCCCAGGCACATTAGCAGGGTTGGGTCAGAAGTGGATCAACCAGAACTCAAATCAGTGCCTATATGGGATCTCAGCACTGCAGATGGTGGCTTAACCCACTGTGCCACAGTGCCAGACCCCTCAATAGATCCTGTTAGAATTGAAACGATGGGTCTTTCTTCCTTTTTATTTTTTTAAAGATTTTATTTATTTATTTGAGAGGTATAGTTACAGACAGTGAGAGGGAAAGACAGAGAGAGAGCTCTTCCTTCTGTTGGTTCACTTCCCAGATGGCCACAATGGCTGGAGCTGCGCCGATCCAAAGCCTGGAGCCAGGTGCTTCCTCCTGGTCTCCCATGTGGGTGCAGGGGCCCAAGGACTTGGGCCATCCTCTACTGCTTTCCTAGGTCATAGCAGAGAGCTGGATTGGAAGAGGGGCAGCTGGGACTAGAACCTGAGCCCATGATGGGTCTTTCTATCCATGAGTATGGGATACATCTCCATTTACTCAAGTCTTATTTACTGCTTTCCATAAAATTTTAATAATTTCTTATATACAAGTTTTATGTATTTTTGTTGAATTTGTTGCTATGGTATCTTTTTTTGTACCTATCCTATATTTTTTTTTTAAAGATTTTTATTTTTTTAAGATTTATTTGAAGGGCAAAGATAGAGCAAGGAAAGATAGAGATCTTAATCTGCTGGTTCATTTCCAAAGTGACCACAATGGCCAGAGCTGGGCCAATTGGATGCCAGGAGCTTCTTCTGGATCTCCCATGTGGGTGCCAGGGCCCAAGCACTTGGGCTATCTTCTGCAGCTTTCTCAGGCACATTAGCAGGGAGCTGGATTGGAACTGGAACAGCCAGGACTCAAGCCAGTGCTCATAAGGGATGCTGGCACCACAGGTGGTGGCTTTACCTTTTGTGTGACAATGACGACCCCAAAGACTTACTCATTTATTTGAAAGGCAGAGTGACAGACAGGGATGGAGAGAGGGAAAGAGAAATATCAATTTTTCCATTTGTTTGTTCACTCCCCAGATACCTGTAGTGGCCAGGGCTAGGTCAGAATGAAGCCAGGAGCCAGCAACTCAATCCAGTTCTTGTACTTTGGTGGCAGAGGCCCAAGTATTTAAGCCATCATCTGCTGCTTTTCCAGTCACATTAGCAGAGAACTGGATTGGAAGCAAAGCAACTGGGATTCAAACCAATGCCCTGCTTTGAAATGCTGGTGTTACAAGCAGTGGTTTACCTTGCTGTACCACAATGCCATCTCCTATTATAGTATCATTTAAACTTAATTTTTATAAATGTTTATGGCTGATATGTAGAAATATAATTTATTTTTATAGTCAGCCACTATATTTGTTTGGAGTTGCTATCATAAAATGTCACAGAGCAGTTGACTTAACAGAAAGGTTTCCCTCCCTCCCTCCCTCCCTCCCTCCCTTCCTTCCTTCCTTCCTTCCTTCCTTTTTTACAATTCTGAAGGCCATAAGTTCAAGATCAAGGTGTTGGCAGGTTTGATTTATTGATTTATTGATGTATGTATGTATGTATGTATTTGAGAGGCAGTTACAGACAGAGGAAGAGAGAGAGAGATTGCACGTGCGTGCGCACTGCTATCTGTTGGTTCATTCCCTAAATGGCTGCAATAGTCGGAGCTGGGCTGATGCGAAGCCAGGAGCTTCTCCTGGTTCTCCCATGTGGGTGCAGGGGCCCAAGCACTTGGGCCATCCTCCTCTGCTTTCCCAGCGGTAAGTAGAGAGCTGCAGTGGAAAAGGAGCTACTGGGACATGAACTGGTGCCTATATGGGATTCTGGTGCTGGTCCCTGCTGGTTAATTTCTTAGGCTTCTCTACTTGGCTTACAGGTGGCCACTCTTTTCTGGTCTCTTCAAATAGTGCTTCTGTTTGTGAAATTAAATATCTTCTTTTAGGACATACCTTAAAGGCCCCATTTAGCCTTAATTTCCTCTTTAATGGCCCTGTCTCCAAATATAATCACATTCTGATATAATGGAGGTCAGGGCTTTAACAAATTAATTTGAGGGGTACACAATTGAACCATGTGTGTGGCTACCATGCCACACTTTTATTATTTCTAATAATTTTTGGCTCCCCACTCTGTTAAGGTAAATTTAAATATCTTGACATAGTTTATGAGGAATTGCATGATATTGCTCTAGCCAGTCTTTCTAGCATCATCTCATATCATTTTTGTACTCATATTCTATGTTTTAAACATTCTAAGATTTTATTTTTTGTACATTGAATATGGTGCTTTCTCTTTTGCCTTCAGGTATTTGTATATGCTATTTCCTTTGCTTAGAAAACTCTCTGCTGTTCATTTAGTTGAGTGTTATTCAGGGATGGGAACCATTTTTTTGCCAAAGGCCACTTGGATATTAATAACATCATTTGTACACTATACAAAATTATATTAGTCTGCTCTAGGTTTACTGAATTTTGAGTACCACCTGTGGTTGCCTTGGCAGGGCCAGACCAAATAATTCTGTGGGTTTTATATGGGTTGGATGTTCCCCTCCCATGAAATAGTCTTTCAGAAATCCTCCTGTGATCCTGTAGGTGTAGGTAAAGTCTTGCTGATATATACATCTTTTTTATTAATATTCCTCTTTTAATTGTTTCTCTTCCTTGTTGAACTATAAATCTTATGAAGGAAGACTGTATGTATTTGATAGGTTTTTGTGACAGTTCAATGAGTTGATTCAATGAACTTGAAACATTTTTGGCACATAGCAAGCAATATACTTTATTGTAATTTCTATTTCCACATTATATAGGAATCTCATAAATGGAGTTCATAGTTACATACTGTTTAATCTCCGTATAATGCATTCATACAAGTAATCTAATTTGATCCTTATAGCCAGTTCTTGAAACAGGGATAATGATTAATACTTGAAATTTATGATTTATGATTATTTCCTATGAAATAACTTGCCCAAATACAAATAGCTTTTTTATGATAGTTATGTAAATAACCTAAGCTTTTTAATTGCAATTTCAATATTCCCTTTGTGACTATATTCCAATAAAATACAAAACAATTTGTAACTTCATGTAACAATGTATAGTTTCATATAACAATGTATAACTTCATACTTATTTCTAAGTATGAAGTTTTGACAAAATAATTTGATAAATTTTATTTGTTTTGGATAGTGAAAAGTTATTTATTAATGAAAAATAAACATTATTTCTTTGAGATTAATAGTCATGTCATAGGCTGGGTGCTTTGAGATCTTAGAGAATTAGAAATAAGGGACAGCCATTTGCTGCAATGGTTAAGATGTTGTTTGGAATATCCCTTTTGTGCCTGCATTTGGGTCCCAACTCCATTTCTAACTTTAGCTTCCTACTAATGCATGTCTTGGGAAGCAGAAGTCAATAACTCAGCTACTTAGGTCCATGCTACCCATATGTGAGACCTGGATTGAGTTCACCGCTCCTGCCTCCACTCTGGGCTAGTCCTGACTGTTATGGATTTTTAAGGATGAGCTGATAGTTGGGAGATCTCTGTCTCTGTTCCCCTTCTCTAACTTCCCCTCCCCCACCATTCAAATAAATAAAAATAAAAGAAAGAATTAGAAATGATTATTCATGTTTATTTTTTCTTTATTTAAAAATTTTAAACAGCTACATCATCCTCCGCAGTGTCTGCACATACCCCATCAGTTATTGTAGCTGTTGTAGAAGGGAGAGGACTTGCCAGAGGTGAAATAGGAATGGCAAGTATTGATTTAAAAAGCCCACAGATTATATTATCCCAGTTTGCAGACAACACAACATATGCAAAGGTGAGTTTTAATAATCTTAGAAAATGGTTGATCTAGTGGGTAGCATGCAGATTTTCAAAGCAGTGCTTTCTAATTTACTTTTTTCTGGATTAAGTTATTCATGATTACTCCATTGTGAATATTTAAATTAAAAGTGTTTTCTATTCGATTTTTATTTTTAGAATACATTTTGTTCTAAAAAGTAAGTCTTACTGGTACTTGATTATCCCAAAGTTATTAATATTATTTTCTAAAATTAATATCTTCAAATTAATCCTAATCCTGGACTCATTCCAAAGGTAATATATGTGATAATGCTATTTCCAGAAGGTTACTTCCTCTCATCTGCATTTGAATTTTATTTTTCCAGAGTTAAGAGAAATTGGTCTTACCTTCACTTCTTACTTCGCCTTTATTTCATATCACTCATGATTATTTTGTACCACTGGGGTTATTGTCATAAGAATTTTGTGATATATCAGGTAGAGGTAGTCTGCTTCTTAAACCTGTATTTTAAAACATTGTTGAGGCCAGCACCGCGGCTCACTAGGCTAATCCTCCGCCTTGCGGCGCTGGCACACCAGGTTCTAGTCCCGGTCAGGGCGCCGGATTCTGTCCCGGTTGCACCTCTTCCAGGCCAGCTCTCTGCTGTGGCCAGGGAGTGCAGTGGAGGATGGCCCAGGTGCTTGGGCCCTGCACCCCATGGGAGACCAGGATAAGCACCTGGCTCCTTGCTTCTGCCATCGGATCAGCGCGGCGCTCTGGCCGCGGCGGCCATTGGAGGGTGAACCAACGGCAAAGGAAGACCTTTCTCTCTGTCTCTCTCTCTCTCACTGTCCACTCTGCCTGTCAAAAAAAAAAAAAAAATTGTTGAGTTTAATTATTTTTTAAAGAGATGAGCTACTATGTAATTTTTATTGTTTTATTGCTCTTTATTATGTATTCATCAAATTCCCTTTTATAGTTTCCCAGGATGTAGGCCTCCTTTTCCTACTGCTTAATTTTCATTATACTTTTTTAAAAAAATATTTATTTATTTATTTTGAAAGTCAAAGTTACAGAGAGAGAGAGAGAGAGGGAGAGACAAAGCGATCTTCCATCCATTAGTTCACTCCCTAGAAGGTCGCAGCGGCCAGCACTGGGCCAAGCCAAAGCCAGGAGCCAGGAGCTTCTTCCAGGTCTCTTACATCAGTAGCAGGGGCCCAAACACTTGACCTATTTTCTGCGGCTTTTCTCAGGCCATTAGCAGGGAGCTGGAATGGAAGTGGAGCAGCCAGGGCATGAACTGGCCCATATAGGATACCAATACTGCAGGAGGCAGCTTTACTTGCTGTGCTACAAAGCTGGCCCTTTTTTTATTTTATACTTAGGTTATATTAATACTGCATGCTATATTTATCTATGGACATTTTACTTACATTTATGTACAATATCAAAAGAAAAGGAAAAAAAATTTTAAAAACGGGAATGTTTCAAGAAATTGCATATTTGTATGTCTGGAATAATTCTAAGAAATGTATCTTATTTTAAGAAGATGTTTCTCATCTGTGTTTCTGTACTCTTCAACTTTTAAACTGTACCAGCATGGCCATACTGGTGTATCTTCATTGTTATTCTATTGGACATGTTTATATTTTTTCATGGTAGAAGAATTTATTTTTAAAAATCTTATGGGACTGTATACTTGCTAAGTGCAAGTTATTTTTTAAAGCTATGGTTGTTACAAACCATTTTGTGTAAATATAGCCTATATTTATGATAATATTTTAGATTTGTAATTATATAAAAATATATGTTGCACATATCCCCATAGAAATACAATTTAATTAAAAATATAATTAGAACAGTTATAATTTTGGGTATCTACAAATTAATTTTAGTTACTTATCCCAGAAAAAATATGAATCCTTTTGTTGTAGAGACCTTTCTAAACTTACATTTAAGAAATTATTTATTAAAATAATTATTCAAACAATTTCAGGTGATCACTAAGCTCAAAATTTTATCACCTTTGGAAATAATAATGTCAAATACTGCTTGTGTTGTGGGGAATTCAACCAAGTTGTTTACTCTGATCACAGAAAATTTCAAGGTGAGTGATTTTTCTTCTTCTTCTTTTTTAAGATTCATTTATTTATTTGAAAGGCAGAGTTACAAAGGGAGGGAGAGTCAGAGAGAGAATCAATCTTGCATCCATAGGTTCACTCCTCAAATGGCTGCAATGGTCAGGCCTAACCAGGCAGAAACCAGGAGCCAGTAATTCCATCCAGTTTTCCCAAGTGGGCGTTAGAGACCCAAAGACTTGAGCCATCTTCTGCTTTCCCAGGTGCATTAACAAGGAGCTAGATTGGAAGCAGAGAACCCAGTACTTAAGCTGGTGCTCTTATTGGATGCTGTGCCACAACACCAGCCCCTTTTTTCTTGTTCTTAGTATATTCAGTACTTGCAATCATGCAAGATGTGTTGTGCTATTAGAGATCCTATGTAGCCATCAGCTGTCTTTGACTCATTGCTAAAAATGATCCCTGTCCTAAATCTGTTGTCTGTTTGGTGATTCATTATTTGTTCTCTTTCATTGATTACTTCATACTTCTTTCCATAATCCTTATTTATGTACATCTTTCCAAGTTTAATTTTTTGTTCGTGTTCTGATTAGGCCGCCTTTTTTTTTTTTAAATTTGTTTATTTATTTGAAACTCAGAGTTACACGGAGAGGAGAGGCAAAGAGAGAGAGGGAGGGAGGGAGGGAGGGAGAGGCCTTCCATCTGCGGGCTGTCTCCCCAATGGCTGCAACAGCTGGAGCTGAGCTGACCTGAAGCCAGGATCCTCCTCCTGGTCTCCCATGCGGGTGCAGTGGCCCAAGGACTGGGGCTATCCTTTACCACTTTCCCAGGCTACAGCAGGGAGCTGAATTAGAAGTGGAGCAGCGGGGACCTGAACCTGCAGCCATGTGGGATGTAAATCAGTAAATCAGGGACAATAGGAGTACCTACTTCCTAGAGAATTGAATTTTATAAAGGATAATCAGAGACGGCTTCATTGGTGTTACATTCAGCAAAGTTCTGAATGGAACAGAGGAAACATTAATATTATTATCATTGTTACTATTATTACCATACATGTATTTTATTTACTTTTATTTATTTATTTATTTATTTATTTTATTTTTTGACAGGCAGAGTGGACAGTGAGAGAGAGAGACAGAGAGAAAGGTCTTCCTTTGCCGTTGGTTCACCCTCCAATGGCCGCCGTGGCCAGCGCGCTGCGGCCGGCGCACCGCACTGATCCGATAGCAGGAGCCAGGAGCCAGGTGCTTTTCCTGGTCTCCCTTGGGGTGCAGGGCCAAAGCACCTGGGCCATCCTCCACTGCACTCCCTGGCCACAGCAGAGAGCTGGCCTGGAAGAGGGGCAACCGGGACAGAATCCGGCGCCCCAACCGGGACTAGAACCCGGTGTGCCGGCGCCGCTAGGCGGAGGATTAGCCTAGTGAGCCGCGGCGCCGGCCCTTATTTACTTTTAAAATTGTGTTTATGCTCTTTTGACTAAAGATGAAATGGTTACAAATATTATAGAATAACAAATAACAACGACCTTGAATGGGAATTCTGGAGTATTATAGTGTGATTAAACTTAGCAAATATAGGAAATATTTTTTTCAAATATCAAATTTCTTTTTTTTTGAAGATTTACTCATTTATTATTTGAAAGGCAAAGTGACAGAGATAGAGAGAAAGACAAAGAAGAGAGAGATTCCATTTTCTGGTTCACTCCCCAAATGTCTGCAACAGAAGCATCAACTGGGTCTCCCAAACAGGCAACAGGAACCCAAGTATCTAGGCCATCATCTGCTGCCTCCTGGGTGCATTAGCAGGAAGCTGGATCAGAAGCCATGTATCTGGGGCTTGAACCTCAGTACTCTGATATGGGATGTGGGCATCCCAAGGGGGCACTTTAACTTCCTACACAGCCTCCAACTCTCTTTTGCTTTGTAGCATTGCCGAAACTCTGGTTGTGATAGGGATCGAGCAGGAAAATTTATCTCTGTTAATTTAAAATACTTCTACTACTTATCATAAAAAGACCTTCATTAAATCAAAAACTATAAAGCAGAAGGAGCATGGATTTCATAGTCAAATCTAAATTTGGTCTCAGCTCTGGAACATGTTAACTTTATGCTATTACTTATAGAAAAATTGGCATTAATGAGACTTGTCATAGGGTCATTATGAAGGTTAAGTAAAATAACTTTTATTTTTAAAATTTTTACTGTTTACAAAGACTTATTTGAGGGGCCAGCGTTGTGGCACAGTGGATTAAGCCACTGCCTACGATGCTGGCATTCCATCTGAGCATCAGTTCGAGTCACTGCTACTCCATCACCAGCTTGGAAGATCTGAATGGAGTTCCTGGTGCATGGCTTCAACCTGGTCCAGCCCAGCCTGCCTGGCCATTTGAGGATTGAATCAGCAGATGGAAGATTTCTCTCTCTCTCTCTCTCCTCTGCCTTTCAAATAAATAAATCTTCAAAACAATTTTTATTTGAAAGACAGACACAGACAAAGAGATCACCCATTTGCTGGTTTACTCCTTAAATGCCCAAAACAGTTGTGCCAGGCCAGGCCAAAGTCAAGATCCCAGAACTCAATCTGGATCTCCCATGTGGGTAGCAGGAATGCAAGTACTTGAGCCATGACCTGCTGCCTCCCAGGATATACATTAGCAGGAAGTTAGAATTGGAAGTGGAGCTGGGACTCAAACCCCGGTATTCTGATAGGGGATGCAGGTGTCCCAAGCAACAACTGTTCTTCTAAATGCCCACTTTGGGATAACTTCTGTTTTTTATTTTAAAAATATTTATTTATGTGCAGACAGCTTGTTTGCCAATTTCGTTTCCTTTGGGTAAATTCCAAGGAGGGGGATGGCTGGGTTGAATGGTAGCGTTATATTCAGGTTTCTGAGGAATCTCCAGACTGACTTCCATAGTGGCTTAACCAATTTGCATTCCCACCAACAGTGGGTTAGTGTCCCTTTTCCCCCACATCCTCTCCAGCATCTATTGTTGGTAGATTTCTGCATATGAGCCATTCTAACTGGGGTGAGGTGGAACCTCATTGTGGTTTTGATTTGCATTTCCCTGATTGCTAGTGATCTTAAACATTTTTTCATGTGTCTGTTGGCCATTTGGATTTCCTCTTTTGTAAAATGTCTATCGAGGTCCTTGGCCCATCTCTTAAGTGGGTTGTTTGCTTTGATGTTGTGGAGTTTCTTGATTTCTTTATAGATTCTGGTTATCAACCCTTTCTCAGTTGCATAGTTTGCAAATATATTTTCCCATTCTGTCGGTCGTCTCTTCACTCTCCTGACTGTTTCTTTTGCAGTACAGAAACTTCTCAATTTGATGCAATCCCAAATGTTAATTTTGGCTTTGACTGCCTGTGCTTCTGGGGTGTTTTCCAAGAAGTCATTGCTGGTACCTATATCTTGCAGGGTTTTTCCAATGCTCTCTAATAATTTGATGGTGTCAGGTTGTAGATTTAAGTCTTTAATCCATGTTGAGTGAATTTTTGTGTAAGGTGAAAGGTAGGGGTCTTGCTTCATGCTTCTGCTTGTGGAAATCCAATTTTCCCAGCACCATTTATTGAATAGACTGTCCTTACTCCAGGGATTGGTTTTGGATCCTTGATCAAATATGAGTTGGCTGTAGATGTTTGGATTGATTTCTGGTGTTTCAATTCTGTTCCATTGGTCTATCCATCTGTTTCTGTACCAGTACCATGCTGTTTTGATTACAACTGCCCTGTAGTATGTCCTGAAATCTGGTATTGTGATGCCTCCAGCTTTGTTTTTGTTGTACAAGATTGCTTTAGCTATTCGAGGTCTCCTGTGTCTCCATATGAATTTCAGCATCATTTTTTCCAGATCTGAGAAGAAGGTCTTCGGTATCTTGATTGGTATTGCATTGAATGTATAAATTGCTTTTGGGAGAATGGACATTTTGATGATACTGATTCTTCCAATCCATGAGCATGGAAGATTTTTCCATTTCTTGGTATCCTCTTCTATTTATTTCTTTAAGGTTTTGTAATTTTCATTGTAGATTTCTTTAACGTCCTTTGTCGCTCCCCCTCTTCGTGGAGGAACGACACAGGACCCTGCGCTGTTCTTTCATCTGCTCGGCCCTCCCCGGGTTTGCTGCTGGTTCTTCCCGGGTTGGCTACCGTCCCTTCCACCTCCGTGGAAGGGTGGTTCCCCCTGCCACTTTCCCCACTTCTGCGGGGGAGCGGCACACCGCCAGCCGGCTCTCTCGGGGGCTGCACAGGTGTTCCTTCAGATAGATGTTCCTGGTGCATGTTGTCTCTCTCCTCCTTTATAGTCCTCTTCCACCAATCCGTGCTCTGCTACCCACACGCCGAGTACGCTGCTCTCCTCCAATCAGGAGCAGGATCAGTTCCTGCAGGTCATCACTCAAGTTAGCGAGAGGCAGCTGCGTAGAAGTTGTTACTCCCTTCTCAGCACCATATTGTGGGAGAGCAGATGCATAGAATAAGTCTTAATTCCAGTAATAGTCTAGTCCGAGTTGCTCCCCACAGATCCCCCTTTCTTTTTATTTTTTTGGCGTTGATACGCGCCTGTCTTTGGTGCCCCGTGGCACACACTCTGCTCTGCTTGCTAGAGTTGCCCACAGGTGCTTACAAGCCCTACCAATCAGGCAAACTGAGTCTGGGTCCTCTCTTCGCCATGTTGTGAGGAGGTTTTTAGGCACTTGATGCGTGCCTGTGTTCGGTGCCCTGCAGCGCATGCTCTGCTCTGCTAGAAGTGCCTGCAGGTGCTTACAAGCCCTATCAATCAGGCAAACTGAATCCAAGCCCTCTCATTGCCGTCTTGTGGGGAGACTTATTGGTGTTGATAACGTGCCTGTCTTCGGTGACCTGCAGCCGCCCACAGGTGCTTATTGTCTTACTAATCAGGCAGACCGAATCCAAGCTCTCTCATTGCCATGTTGTGGGGAGGCCTTATTTTTCTCTATTTCTCTATCTCCAGGCATTCCTATCTCTCCTATTTTACTTCTATCTGCCAGCATTCCTATTTCTCTCATTTTACTTCTAAACTTCTGTTTCTCTTATCCCGCGGCTTCCTGGCGCCCGCCCCGAGGCTGCTTCTTGGCGCCTCGCCCCGCGGCGGCTTCCCGGCTCTGAGCTGCTTCCTGGCTTCACGCGCTCTCCGCGGTCTCCGTGCCCCTTCGCGCCCGCACCACGGCCTCCGTGTCAGCCCCGCACTCCCTATCTATTCACGCCCCGTGCTCTCTCTGCACGCGGCGGCTTCCGCGAATCACACAGCCTAGCTCACGTTTCCGCCACCGGTATTCAGTCTAAGTTCCCCGGGCTAACCTGGCGAATTCAACCTAGCTCACGTCTGTGCCTTTCGGTTTGGCTTCCTGTCTTTTGCTCCCGGGCTAATCTGATGGATTCCAACCTAGCTCACGCATCTCCGCCTCTGGTTTAGCTTTTCGCCTTTTGTTCCCCGGGCTGACTTGACGAATCCCAACATAGCTTACGTCTCCGCCTCAGCCTGCCCCCGCAGCTTCATTTTCCCTAACATTTTTCTCTACCCGGTATGTTTCCTAACTTTTCTTCCAACAATATTCCCCTCTCATTTCTCCTGGCTTCTCCCCACAGTCCGTATCCGAGTCTAAGTTTCTTCTAGGTTTCACTTTCGCTTTCAATCTCCTAGCTTTCAATCCTAACTTCTTTCCCACAGTCCGTATCCGAGTCTATGCCTAGGCTTTCAATAGCTTCTTCCGGCACCTTTTCCGTCCGGCTTTTCCTTAGGCTCTTCTAGTCTCTCTCTCCGGTATTTTCCCACTTCTTCCCGCTTCTTCCCTCCTAGGTTTCCTATCTGAGTCACGGCACCATTATGTTGCTCCCCCTCTTCGTGGAGGAGCGACACTAAACCCTGCCTAGGCTTCATATCCGAGTCACGGCACCATTATGTCGCTCCCCGTCTTCGTGGAGGAACGACACAGGACCCTGCGCTGTTCTTTCATCTGCTCGGCCCTCCCCGGGTTTGCTGCTGGTTCTTCCCGGGTTGGCTACCGTCCCTTCCACCTCTGTGGAAGGGTGGTTCCCCCTGCCACTTTCCCCACTTCTGCGGGGGAGCAGCACACCGCCAGCCGGCTCTCTCGGGGGCTGCACAGATGTTCCTTCAGATAGATGTTCCTGGTGCATGTTGTCTCTCTCCTCCTTTATAGTCCTCTTCCACCAATCCGTGCTCTGCTACCCACACGCCGAGTACGCTGCTCTCCTCCAATCAGGAGCAGGATCAGTTCCTGCAGGTCATCACTCAAGTTAGCGAGAGGCAGCTGCGTAGAAGTTGTTACTCCCTTCTCAGCACCATATTGTGGGAGAGCAGATGCATAGAATAAGTCTTAATTCCAGTAATAGTCTAGTCCGAGTTGCTCCCCACAGTCCTTGGTTAAGTTTATTCCAAGGTATTTGATTGTTTTTGTAGCTATTGTGAATGGGATTGATCTTAGAAGTTCTTCCTCAGCCATGGCATTGCCTGTGTATACAAAGGCTGTTGATTTTTGTGCATTGATTTTATACCCTGCTACTTTGCCAAAATCTTCTATGAGTTCCAATAGTCTCTTAGTAGAGTTCTTTGGGTCCCCTAAATAAAGAATCATATCATCTGCAAAGAGGGATAGTTTGAGTTCTTCCTTCCCAATTTGTATCCCTTTAATTTCTTTTTCTTGCCTAATAGCTCTGGCTAGAACTTCCAGAACTATATTGAATAGCAGTGGTGAGAGTGGGCATCCCTGTCTGGTACCAGATCTCAGTGGCCCAAAAACATAAAAATTATAAATGAGCTTTCAATTCATCTCATTTATTTATTTTTGTCTATTTTTGGAGGGAGGAGTGAGAGAGAAAGGGGGAGAAAAAGCAATCTCTCATCTTCTGATTCACTCCCCAAATGCCTACAACAACTGGGACTGAGCAAGACCAAAGCTGGGATCCGGGAACTCAATCTAGTTCTCTTAAAAGGATGTCAAGAACCCAGTTATTTCAGTAATCACCTGCTGCCTCCCAGCATACACATCAGCAATAAGTCAGATCAGGAGCAGAGTGGGGTCTCAGACCCAAGCACTCAGATACAGGATGTGGGCAGGCCCAAGCACCATCTTAACCACTGGGATGGATGTCCATCTCTGAGATAACTTTTAAAACAATCTTGGTACCTGACAAATTCGCTGCTTTCCCATGAGTGTCTTTTTTTCTTCAGTCTTGATAGCTCTTTGACAGATTTTTTTTTTTTTACCCATTACATCAATCGAAGTAGGTAAAGGTTTTACTTTAGAACTTCATGATTCTTTTTTTTTCCTTTCTAAAAAGGTCCATTGCCTCTGACTTTATTCTCAATGAATTTGCATAATATAAATAATATTTCATGGATTTGATAGGCGCAGTTATTGTTTTCATAGTTTCAACTGGCACATTCTAAGATTCTAGCCTTTCTCAATTGTGACAGAGTTTGGAAGGCTTAGTATAAAATCTATGTGATGTTGTTACTATGAATAAACTACTAGAAGGCAGATTCTCATGGTTACTTTTTGACTATTGTACCTGTTATATTCAGTTAAATTTCCTGAGAGTAAATCTTAATAAGGGCTACAGATTGTACTACATGACACTTAGAAAGATGGGTAACCATTTTGTTTTTAATGTTTCTATTTAAATATTGAAAAAAATGTATACATATTTTTACCACCTGTCTATGTGTTTATAATAGCACTTTTGAGCAACATATGGCACTTAAAAATTTATTTTGCAATTAAAACTTTTTTTCAGAACGTTAATTTTACTACTGTCCAAAGGAAATACTTCAATGAAACAAAAGGATTAGAGTATATTGAACAGTTTTGCACAGCAGAATTCAGCACTGTCCTAATGGAGGTTCAGTCCAAGTAAGTTACAACTTAAAAAGAAAGTAAGAAAGCTCCAGTGTGAGTTCCATGAGGGCAGAGTTTTCTTTGATCCCTTCTGTATCCCTACTAACTACCTAGAAAAGTTCCAGACTCATAATACACAATATTATTGAAATAATAAAACAGTTAATTAAAGTTTCTATGCAGTGTCCCCAAATTAGTTATAATCTATTGCTCTGATGATTGCTGCCAGCTTTATTTTGGATTAAAAATCTCAAGCATCACAGTAAACTAGAAAAGTTGTGGCATGGAAATGAAGTACAGTTGAAGTGGTGTTCTTATTACATCATACTTTTAATCCTAGAAATATGAGATAGGAAATTATATTTTTAGGATAAATATTTCTCAGAACGTGCAAAATCAATATGTTCTCTGAGCCAGATTGGACACTGTTTACTCAGTTAGTGACCATGTTTATTCTCACTGAATTTGTAATATATTTTCCTATTGATTGGGACATCCTGACCCCACCTTTAAGGTCTTCATACTCTTTCAGCATTATTTGAGTACTTAGAGTTGTAAATCCAAAATAGACACAAATTACCATTGAATGTTGTCTCTGACACATGGTTTATTGGTGACCCTTAAGTATTCTTAAGTTCCCTTAAGTATTGTATTTTAAAATAAGGAACATTTGTTATAACTTACTTGTAATTTTACTGAAAATAAGTTGAAATGAGTGTTTCTTCTTATAGCAGTAATTTTTTAAATTAAAGACTTACAGTGATATATCATTGATTACCTTACAGATATTACTGTCTTGCAGCTGTTGCAGCTTTGTTAAAATATGTTGAATTTATTCAAAATTCAGTTTATGCACCCAAATCGCTGAAGATTTGTTTCCAAGGTAGTGAACAAACAGCAATGATAGATTCATCATCAGCCCAAAACCTTGAATTGCTAGTTAATAACCAAGACTGTAGGTAAGATCTTCTAACTTTTTTAAAAAATGTATTTTTAGGGCCGGTGCTGTGGCTCACTTGGTTAATCCTCCGCCTGTGGTGCCGGCATCCCATGTAGGCACCGGGTTCTGGTCCCAGTTGCTCCTCTTCCAGTCCAGCTCTCTGCTGTGGCCTGGGAGGGCAGTGGAGGATAGCCCAAGTGTTTGGGCCCTGCACCCGCATGGGAGACCAGGAAGAAGCACCTGGCTCCTGGCTTCGGATCGGCCCAGTGCCGGCTGTGGTGGCCATTTGGGGAGTGAACCAACGGAAGGAAGACCTTTGTCTCTGTCTCTCTCTCTCACTGTCTATAACTCTACCTGTCAAATAAATTTTAAAAAATGTATTTTTAAGGGCCGGTGTTAGAGTGTAGTAGTTTAAGCTGTTGCCTATGACACTGGCATCCATATGGATGCCAGTTCGTGTCCCAGCTGCTCTACTTCCAATCCAGCTCTTCACTAATGTGCCTGAGAAATCAGCAGAAGATGGCTCAAGTGCTTGGGATCCTGCAACCCATGTGGGAGACCTGGAAGAGCTACTAGCTCTGGCTTCAGTCTGGCCCAGTCCTCGCCATTATGGCCATCTGGGGAGTGAACCTACAGATATTTCTCACTCTGTTTCGCCCTCTCTCTCTGTAACTCTGCCTTTCAAACAAATAAATAAATCCTTTTTAAAAGTATCATTTTATGTCCTTTTTTTAAGATTAATTAATTTAAATTTTTTTCAGTTGTTTCATGAAGAAATAGTGAATAAATATATTTGTTTTATTAAAAGATTTCTTTTAAAATTTATTTGGAGAACCAGAAAGGGAGAGAAGGGGAAATGAAAGGGAAAAGGTAAAAGAGAGAGAGCGGGAAAGAGAAAGCTCTGAAGTTCATTCTTGAAATGCCTGCAACAAACTGGGGGTGGCTTATGCTGAAGCCAGGAGCCAGGAACACAATTCGTTTCCAACATGGGTGGCCGGAACCCAGCTACTTGAGCTGCCTTTTAGAATCTGCACTGACAGGAAGCTGAAATCAGAAGTGGAGGTTAGGTCCAACATTGTGGTGTGGCAGGTAAAGCCACCACTTGCAATGCCAGCATCCCAAATGGGTGCTGGGTTCTGACCCAGCTGCTCCACTTTCCATCCAGCTTCCTGCTAATGGTCTGGGAAAAAAGAAGAAGATGGCCCAAGTACTTGGGCCCCTTTACCCATGGGGGAGACCCAGAAGAAGCTCTGGGTTCCTGACTTCAGCCTGGCACAGTCACAGCTGTTGTGGCCATTTGGAGAGTGAACCAGCAGAGGGAAGATCTCAGTCCAATTCCAAATACTTTTTAATTAGTGTAATTCCTTCAATATCCTGGTATTTTTTAGGCTGTGTTTCTGTATTTTGAATGTTCTTGAGTATATTTGTTAAAAAAATTACACACACACACACATTGTGTGTATTATGTGTTTAGTGAATATTGGGAAAGGTAGAGAGGCCATTTTTCATTGGACTTTTCTTTCTTTTTCTTTTTTTCTTTTATTCCTCTCCCCTCCCTTCCCCTCCTCTCCTCTCTGATTTGTTTATTTGAAAGGCAGAGTTTCAGAGGGAGAGGGTGGGGGAGAAATCTTCCATCTGCTAGTTCATTCCTGAAATGGCCACAATGGTCAGGGCTGGGCCAGGCTGAAGCCAGGAGCTTCTTCCAGGTATCCCATGTGGGTGCAGGGGGCCAACCACTTGGGTCACCCTGTGCTGCTTTCCCAGCACATTAGTAGGGTGCTGGATGCTGGATCAGAAGTGGAGCAGCTGGGACTTGAACCAGCACCCATGTTGGATGCTGCAGGTGGTAGCTTAACCTGCTGTGCCACAGGACTGACCCCTGAATAAATGTTTTTAATCATTGTACCATTGTTGCTAAACTGCTCAGAAGTTTCACCAAAATCAGGTTGTAAAAGATATTTGGGGGCATTTAGGCTCATAATTAAGATGCCAGCTGAGATGCCCATGTCCTACTTCAGAAAATGTGGGTTTGATTCCTGACTCTGGTTCCTGCCTTTAGCTTCTCACTCCAGCTGCTGCTAATGTAGACCCTAGGAGCCAACAATGATGGTTCAAGTGATTGGTTCCTGGCACTACATTTGTGTGGATTGCAATCTCAGCTCCCAGCTTTGGCCCTAGCCCAACCCCAGCTGTTTTGTGCATTTGGAGAGTGAATAAGTGGATGGGAGCACACTCTGTCTCTCTGTCTCTCAAATAAGTAAAAACTATAAAATAAAAGATATTTGTACTAAACAGCAAAAAACAAACAAAACCCACCTCACTTTAAAACTGGACAAGGGGCGCCGGATTCTGTCCCGGTTACCCCTCTTCCAGGCCAGCTCTCTGCTGTGGCCAGGGAGTGCAGTGGAGGATGGCCCAAGTCCTTGGGCCCTGCACCCGCATGGGAGACCAGGAAAAGCACCTGGCTCCTGGCTTCGGATCAGCGTGATGCGCCGGCCGCGGCGGCCATTGGAGGGTGAACCAACGGCAAAAAGGAAGACCTTTCTCTCTGTCTCTCTCTCTCACTGTCCACTCTGCCTGTCAGAATGAGTAAAAAAAAAAAAAAAACTGGACAAAGGGCCTTAATAGACATTTCTCCAAAGAAGATAAACAAATGGCCAATAATTACATGAAAAGATGGTAAGCATCACTAGTAATTAGAGAAACATCCCCATCCTATATAGGAGTGCCACTTCGAGTCCCAGCTACTCCACTTCTGATTTAGCTTCTTGCTGAGGAGGTAAGAAGCTGGGAGGCAGCAGATGGCTCAAGAACTGGTCTCCCCCAGGAGACCTGGACGAAGTTCCTGGCTTCAGCCTGGCCCAGCCCTGACCATTTGGGGAATGAACAAATGGGTGAAAGATCTCTCTCTTGCTCTCCTTTTTTCTTTATCTCTCCCCGACAGCCGTTTTTCAAGTAGATTAAAATAAATTATTTTTAAAAAGATTGATATTCTGGGGCTGGCACTGTGGCATAGTGAGTGATGCAGTGCCAGCATCTCATATGGGCGCCAGTTCAAGTCCTGGCTGCTCCATAGACTTGTCCATTTGAGTGGCAAGTGTCCTCTTGTGACAATGTAGTGTTACACTCATTGATTTCTATAGTAAATGACAGGTTTATGTGTGCTCCCCAATTTTTTTTTGTTCCTACAGAATCCAAATTCTCAAAAAATAAAAACTGTGCATGTGATGAGAAACCCTCAGCTGGTAGATCTGAGTAATTCCATACAAATTTCTTTAAATTAGTACACCCAATATCTGTTACATAAAACTTAGAGAGGGAGATACAGGGAAAGAGATCTTCCATCCACTGTTTCACTGCTCAAGATGACCAAAATGGCCAGGACGGTCCAGACTGCAGCCAGGAGCCTGGATTTCAAACAATCTCCTATATAAGTGAGTGACAGGATCCCAAGTACTTGTGCCATCTTCTGCTTTCCCAGGTGCGTTAGCAGGAAGGTAGATTGGGAGGAGAGCAGTTAGGACTTGAACCTGTGCTTAATCTACTGCACCACAATGCGGGCCCCAAGAGTTCTCTCTTTTCTCTTCTTCTCTCCCCTCCCCTCCCCTCCCCTCCCCTCTCCTCTCCTCTCCTCTCCTCTCCTCTCCTCCTCTCCCTCCCTCCCCCTCCCCTCTGCCTCTCCCCTCCCCTCCTCCCCCTCCCCTTCCCTCTTTCCCTCCCCTCTCCCCCCTCTCCCCTCTTCCCCCTCTCCCCTCTCCTCTTCCCTCCCCTCTGCCCCCTCTCCCCCTCTCCCCCTCCCCCTCCCCTCTTCCCTCCCCTCTGCCCCTTCCCCTCCCCTCTTTCCCTCCCCTCTGCCCCCTCCCCTCCCCTCTTTCCCTCCCCTCTCCCCCCTCCCCTCCCCTCCCCTCTTTCCCTCCTCTCTCCCCCCTCTCCCCTCCCCTCTTCCCTCCCCCTCCCCCCTCTCCTCCCTTCTTCCCCTCCCCCCTCCCCTCCCCTCTTCCCCTCCCCTCTGCCCTCTCCCCTCCCCTCCCCTCCCCTCCCCTTTCCTCTCCCCTCTCCTCTCCTCTTTTCCTTATCTATCTACTATCTGTCTATCTATCTATCTGAAGGCCAGAATTTCAGAGAGGCAGAGAGAGAGAAAGAGGTCTTCCATCCACTGGTTCACTCCACAGATGCCCGCAGTACCAGAGCTGGGCCGACCTGAAGCCAGGAGCTTCTTCCAGGTCTCCCACATAGGTGCAGGGGCCCAAGGACTTGGGCCATCTTCTGCTTTTCCAGGCCATAGCAGAGAGCTGAATTAGAAGTAGAGCAGCTGGGACTCGAACCTGCACCTATATGGGATGCCGGCACTGCTGGTGGCAGCTTTACCTGCTACTCCACAGCACCGGGCCTGAGTCATTCTTATTTCCTCTCTTCTCACACCCCAGATGCAGTCCAACAGCAAATGCTCTTTACTCAATCTTCAGAGAATACCAATTCTTGATTACGTTTATCCATTTCCAAATTATCACAGTAACCTAAACCTCTGTCCTCTTTAACCTAGACTACTGTAATGACCACCCAACATGTATCTATGCCTTTTTTCCCCCTTTGTTTAGCATAGCAGTCAGAGTGATCCTTTTAATTCAGAAATCAGATCTGATAAATTTCCCCTTAAAAGCTACTCTATAATATTTAGATTTCTATCTCAATTTCACCTTTGCATTACTGCTTTTTTTTTTTTTATCATTTAGGTCTCTACACAACTGTCAAGTACACAGATTTTTATCAATCAGCCTAACTAAAGTAAACCTCCTGGTCATTCTCTACATACTCCTATTATTTTTATTTAGCAGTTTCTGTTCCTGAAATATTTTCTTTCTTTACATGTATAGGCTTTTTGTCTGTCTCTCTCTCTACTCTTTGTCTTGTCCCCATTTATGGCAAGTAAACTGATACAGATTGTTACTAATCAGTCACTAGAATGTAAGGACCATGAAGATAGAAATCATGTCTGTCTTGTATGTTCAGTGCTTAGCACAGGGTTTTGAATACCATAACTGCTCAATAAATGTTGAATATTAAAATAAATTGGCTTTAAAATTCTTCTAAATTTATTTACTTTTTATGTATTTGAAAGGCAGAGAGAGGGAGAGAGAGAGAGGCAGAGGCAGAGACAGAGAAATAGAAAGCTTCCATCTACTGGTTTACTCCCAAATACCTGCAAAAGGTGGTACTGAGCCAGTCCAATGCCAAGAGCTGGTAATTGAGTCTGACTGTCTCACGTTGGTGGCAGGGACCCAATTAATTGACCTATTATGTGCTGCCTCCTAGAGTGTGCATTAGCAGTAAGCTAGAATTGAAGTGGAGCCAAGACTTGAATCCAATGCATTATGATAAGAGAGGCATCTTAATGGCTGTACCAAATGCCTGCCCTGTACTAGCTTTTTCATGTGAATTGTAATTTTCTAATAAATAGCCCAATGATATTTATTCTTTATAATATCTCATTTCTTCATAATAATCACTTAGACATTATGAAATTCTCTTGTAATTTTCTCTAACTTCATAAATTAGAGCAGGGTGATTATGTTAAACACTCATTTTTATCAATGTAAGAGTCCCTTCTCCGTGAAGGTTATGTTATTTATGGAATTTCATGGACCAGAAAACTTTATATGAGTCTCAATATTATAAATATATATTATGGAAAAAAGTCATTAAGGACAAGGTGATACTGTCATTATTTGTTAACCAAAGTGTGGTGCATTGACTGACATATGTACTTATGAGCTAGTTCAGGATGTGGATTCTAAGCCCTGATCTCAGACCTATTGAATTAGAATCCCCATATAACTTGCATGCATAATAAAGTTTGAGAATAACTACTGTAGTTATAGGATTGTTCAATTACAAAGTTAAAATGCCATTTTCTTGGATTTTCCTTTGTATGCTTAATGAAATTTCCAAATTTGTGCTTTCAAAGGAATAATCACACTCTCTTTGGTGTTCTGAATTATACTAAGACTCCTGGAGGGAGTAGAAGACTTCGTTCTAATATCTTAGAACCTCTAGTTGATATTGAAACCATTAACATGAGATTAGATTGTGTTCAAGAGCTACTTCAAGATGAGGAACTCTTTTTTGGACTTCAATCAGGTAAATTAATATCATCTGAATTTTATAAGTATAAAGTATTTTTTGTATTTTTATTATAAAATAGTTAAATACAAAAAAGTATAAAGAGTTCAATGAGCATACAAAAATGTATCAGTTTTTAACATTTTGTTATATTACCCTCATATGTAAACACTATATATATATACATATATAATACACATTTTCTTAAAGCATTGGTGGATATATTAATATTACATAGCAAGGGATTCATGACAAATATAAAATGGCTAAAGAAAACATTATGTAAGGAGTATGATTTATTGAAGACAACACTTAAAATATCTGTATAACAAATATGAATTTTTTGAGATTATTTATGTGAAAGGCAGACTGACAGAAAAAATATCAATCTTTCATCTGCTGGTTCACTTCCACAAGAGTTGGGGGTTGGGCCAGCCTGAAGCTAGGAGCCAGGAAATCTATCCAGATCTCCAGTGTGGGTGGCAGGAATAGGTTACTTCTTAGGTATATTAGCAGGGAACTAGATTAAAAGTAGAGTAGGTGAAACTCAAACCAGTAATCTGATCTGTATGTCCCAGGTGGTGGCTTAACCTGTTGAACCACAAAGCCTGTCCTAATACAAATTATTTTAAAAATATAATTAGGTTAATTTTTTCCATGTTTCTGAAAGTTGGGTAATAAAGATATACATTCTTATATTCCAACATGTTAATTATTTTCTAGAAAATTTTTTGGATCCTGAAGGAAATAATTTCAGAGGTATATTTTATGTTTTGGTTTTGTGGATTCTGGATATTGTTCCTTTCTTTCTGTGGGGTTTTATTTATTTATTTTTTAGACAGGTTGTAATTCTTTTTCTCCAGAGTAATCCTCAAAGGAAAAAAGATTTGTCCAGACTAGGTAATTATCAATAGATGGAGTGTATTAGTTTCCTGGGACTGCTGTAAAAAGTACCACATATACAGTGGTTTAAAAGAACAATTTTTAAAACAGAATTCACAGTTCTGGAAGTTAGAAGCTAAAATTAAGGTATCAGTTGGACCATGTTGAACCTTGTAAAAGAGTATCTTTTTTTTTAACTTTTATTTAATGAATATAAATTTCCAAAGTACAGCTTATGGATTACAGTGGCTTCCCCCTCCCATAACTTCCCTCCCACCTGCAACCCTCCTCTCTCCCACTCCTTCTCCCCTTCCATTCACATCAAGATTCATTTTCTTTTCTTTTTTTTTTTTAAGATTCATTCTCGATTCTCTTTACATACAGAAGATCAGTTTAGCATACATTAAGTAAAGATTTCAACAGTTTGCACCCACATAGAAACACAAAGTGAAAAATACTGTTTGAGTACTAGTTATAGCATTAAATCTCAATGTACAGCACCTTAAGGACAGAGATCCTACATGAGGAGTAAGTGCACAGTGACTCTTGTTATTGACTTAACAAATTGACACTCTTGTTTATGGCATCAGTAATCATCCTAGGCTCTTGTCATGAGTTGCCAAGGCTATGGAAGTCTTTTGAGTTCACCGACTCTGATCATATTTAGACGAGGTCGTAGTCAAAGTGGAAGTTCTCTCCTCCCTTCAGAGAAAGGTTCCTCCTCCTTTGATGGCCCCATTCTTTCCACTGGGATCTCACTCACAGAGATCTTTCATTTAGTTTTTTTTTTTTTCCCCCCAGAGTGTCTTGGCTTTCCATGCCTGAAATACTCTCATGGGCTTTTCAGCCGGATCCGCATGCCTTAAGGGCTGATTCTGAGGCCAGATTGCTGTTTAGGACAATTTTTAAACAGAATTCACAGTTCTGGAAGTTAGAAGCTAAAATTAAGGTGTCAGTTGGACCATGTTGAACCTTGTAAAAGAATATCTTTCTTTGCCTCTTGCTAGCCTCTGGTGGTGGCTGTCAGTCCATGGTGTACTTTTATAGCTTTACTAGTCCATTCTCTCTGTTGCCATATGGTGTTCTTGCAGTGTTTGTTCACATTATTTTCTCATTAGGACTTCAGTCATATTCGGTCACCATAATGACTTCATCTTTACTTGGTTTCTTCTGCAAAGACCCAATTTCCAAAAAAGGTCACATTCATAGTTACTAGGAATTAAAAATTCAGAGTATTTTGAGGGGTAGGAGGGAGGCACAATTCAATTCATAAATGGGATAAGAAAATTTTCTTTGGGTGTGGCTAAGTATTCACTGGTATGGCTGTTTTCCTCTTAAATCTATAGGTGGGAGAACAGTTGATACACACTGCTTCTCATCTAATTCCTACACTTGATCTTAGCCAAAAAGCTGAGAAGCGATACTCATCTAATTATTGATTGCTAGCAGCTTGGCCAGTCTTGCATAGTCTCCTGACTCCCTCACCTTATGTTCTAAACTGAAATGGTACATTAATTATTAGAAGATATTTGTAACTTTCTAGTTTTTTCAATCCAATTCCAAATATTTTTTAATTAGTGTAATTCCGTCAATATCCTGGTATTGTTTAGGCTGTGCCTCTGTATTTTGAATGTTCTTGAGTATACTTGTTAAAAAACTACACACACACACATTATATATATATATGTATATATACATATATACACACACATTATATATATATACATATATATATAAATGTATTTAGTGAGTGTTGGGAAAGGTAGACAGAGGCCATTTTTAACTGGCCTCCTCTCCTCTCCTCTCCTCTCCTCTCCTCTCCTCTCCTCTCCTCTCCTCTCTTCTCTTCTCTTTTCAGATTTGTTTATTTGAAAGGCAGGGGGAGAGGATGAGAGGGAGTTATCTCGGATTTGCTGGTTCACTCCCCTAAATGGCCACAACAGCTGGGTCTGGGCCAGGCCGAAGCCAGGAGCCAGGAACTCCGTTGTTCTCCCACATAGGTACAGGATCCCTGGGACTTGATCCACCTTCTGCTTCTTTCCAGGGCACATTAGTAGGGTGATGGATCAGAAGTGGGGCATCCTGGAATTGAAATGGTGTTCATATGGGATGCTGGCATTGCAGGCAGCAGCTTAACACACAGTGCCAGTCCCCGTAACTTTATTTATTTTTTTTTATTGTTCACAGCAACATCTTATTGGGCTACCTGTATCTGGCATTTAGTGTAATATGTAAATGCCAGGGATATAAAGTCATTTAATCATTTAATATTGGTCAAGGTCCAACCATTGTGGTCTTTTTCAGCTATTTGATGCCAGATGTACAATTATACTCTTCTATTTTCCCTTCCCTATGTTTCAGCTGGAAGAGGTATTACTGTTTCTGTCCATGACTATTTCTTCCACCAGTTCTCTAGATCCCATCCTTGCATTTAGTTGTTTCCTGTTTCTTGTTTCTTTATTATCCTTCTCACTCTGAGTTCCTTCCATGAGAATTTAAATTTGCTCATACCTCTCCCATCTGTGTTAGAACTCTCCCTGGATTTCGTCTTTTCCAGCTACCACCTTATGTATGTTTTTCTATTCATAGCCAAAGTTGTTCAAAAACTAATTTTCTGCTCTCACTATCCTCTCTTCATCACTGTATCTCAATCTGCTACAATCTTGTTTCTATGCCCACTATTGTGCCTAGACTGCTTTTGTCAAGGTCACTGTAGGTGATATTGTAGGTTCTCTGTCCAGATCCTTATGGTTCCCTTTTAACTTTCTGTATGTCTCTTTCTTTGCCCACACCTACACTCATTTGGAGGCCTGCCCTTAGGCTATTGGAGTCCTGACTCTCAAGCACAGAGTATAAAAGTGCCTGGTGATCTTAAATTAATGGTGTGAGAATATGAAAGCCCAGCTGTCATATTTATATGGCAAAAACTAAAGTATAATTTAAACCCCAGAATTCCTCTTCAGGATCAGTTCAAGTTTCCTTCAACAAGTGTTGCCTGAAATTATCCTCTGCTTAGTCTTTTCCCTTTACTTGTCCTTCTCTTTATTAGTTTCTCCTAGAGACACAGTCTGTCATTTGCACATGAGTCCTTGAAACATAGCCTAACACAATCACTAACAGGCTTGTTGTTAATGTAATGGTAAAGTATTAGTTCTTGTATTTGGATTACAACTCACTTGATACTACTGAATATCTTTCGTTTTGCTTTGTTTCTTTGCTTCTGTGATATTCACTGTACTATGAAGTTTAAATGCTCACATTTGTTGTTTGTTTCAGTTATTTCAAGATTTCTCGATACAGAGCAGCTTCTTTCTGTTTTAGTACAAATTCCAAAACAAGACACGGTATGTTTACATATACATTATGTTTACATTATTATATATTCTGTGTTATAATTTATCTTAATATTATGTAAAAATTGCAAAATCTCTAAATGTTTGAGATTAGTATTATTGATGTGTAGAGAATTTTTATATTTTTAAAAGGAAATATTTGGGGCCGACGCTGTGACATAGTGGGTTGAAGCCCTGGTCTGAGGCATGGGCATCCCATGTGGGCACCAGTTCTAGTCCCGGCTGTCCTCTTCTGATCCAGCTCTCTGCTGTGACCTGGGAGAGCAGTGGAGGAAGATGGTCCAAGTCCTTGGGCCCCTGCACCCCTGTGGGAGAACTGGAGGAAGTTCCTGGCTTCTGGCTCCTGGCTCTGGATCGGCGCAGCTCTGGCCATTGTGGCCATCTGGGGAGTGAACTAATGGATGGAAGACCTCTCTCTCTGTCTCTACCTCCTCCGTAACTCTGTCTTTCAAATAAATAAAATAAATCTTTAAAAAAAAGGAAGTATTTTCTTATATGTTAGAATAAAATAAAAAGTTTCTTAGATAGTTAAGGAATTGGCATAGTTCTACTACTCAAATACTTAGTTACGTGTAATTTTTTAAAAAGTGCCTAATAAGCAACTTTGGGTCCAAAGAGTTTAGATTGTTCTTAAAAGCGATCATTGGGGCCAGCACTGTGGCGTAACCGCTAAAGCCGCCATCCCGGAATCCCATATTGGGGCTGGTTTGAGTCCCAGCTGCTCCACTTTCTGTCCAGCTCTCTGCTATGGCCTGGGAAAGCAGTAGAAAAGGACCCAAGTCCTTGGAGCCCTGCACCCACATGCATCCACATGGGAGAACTAGAAGAAGCTCCTGACTCCTGACTTTAGACAAGCCCAGTTCCTGCTGTTGCGGCCATCTGGGGAGTGAACCAGGAGAAGGAAGACTTCTCTGTCTCTCTGCCTCTACCTCTGTAACTCAGCCTTTCAAATAAATAATTATTTTTTTAAAAGTGATCATTATGTGATCATTAAGTTGAATAGTCTTTAAATAAGCTTAGCCTGTACAACTGTAATATCATTTCTGAAAATTCTTATATGTACACTTATAAAGTTGTTATTCCCTTCTTCAATTTTCTTTTCTTTCCTTTTAAAAAATATTTATTTGCATAGCTGAAAGAGAGGAAGAAACACAGAGAGAGATGTCTTCCATCTACTGGTTCTCTCTCCAAATGGCCACAATGGCTAGGGATGGGCCAGAGTGAAGCCAGGAGCCTGCAACTCCATCCAAATCTCCCACGTGGGTGGCAGGAGCCCATGCACTTGGCCATCTTTTGCTGCTTTCCCAGGCACATTAGCAGGGAGCTGGATTGGAAGTGCAATAGCTGGAAGTTGAACTGGTGTCCGTATGGGATTCTTGCATTGCAGACAGTAGCTTAACTTACTGTGCCACAACACCAGACCCAAATTTTCTGATAGTTTGTTTACAGTTCTTATTGTTTTTTCCTTAAAAGTTTGGTAAAATTCACAAATGAAGCCACTAGAAGGCAGACTTTTCTTTGTAGGCAAGTTTTTCATTATTAAACTTCTTAGGTAGACATGGTGCTATAGATATGGATAAGTCAGGTCATCTGTTTTTCTTTAGTGAACACTGGTAATTTGTGTCATTCAAATAATTATTCATTCTACTCAACTTTTCAAATTTCTTGGCATAATATTGCTCTTAATATCTTCCTTATTTTCCTTTTTATGTCTGTAAAATTTATAGGGATTCATTCCTGATATTGGTAACTGTTTTTTAAAATTTACTTGAAAGGCAAAGTTGTGTGTGTGTGTGTGTGTGTGTGTGTGTGTGTGTGTATTATATAAAGAGAGAGAGAATCTTCGATCTACTTGTTTACTCCAAATGGTCAACAGGCTGGGATTGGGCCAGGCTGAAGCTAGGAGCCTGGAATTCCATCTAGGTCTCCCATGTGGATGGGAAGGATCTAAGTACTCAGACCATCTTCTGCTTAGCAGGGAGCTACTTTGGAAGAAGATCAGCTGAGACTTGAACTGGTGCCCTTGTAGGACACTGGTATCACAGGCGGCAGTTTGATCTACTGTGCCACAATGCCAGCTAACTTATTTATACTTTCTCTTTTTTTCTTAATAAATCTCTTTAGAGGTTAATAGTTTTATTGATATTCTCAAGGAATATTATTTTATTTCATTGATTGCTGGTTTTATCACTTCTGTTTCATTTTTTCTGCTTTTCTGTGTTTAGTATTCTCTTCTTTTTCTATGTAGGGAAGGTAGAAGCTGAGGTCATCAATTTAAGACCTTTTTCCTTTTGTAATATGTGAATTTTGTACTATAAATTTCTCTCAGAGAAATTGTTGGTATTCCACAATTTTTGATATATATTGTTTTCTTTTTCATTCAAAAAAGTTCAAAATGCTTTCTGATTTTCTTTTTAGTTTTTCTTTGATTATTTAGAAGCATATTATTTTGATTCCAGTATTTGGAAACTTTCCATATATCTTTCTGTTTATTATTAATTTCAATTTCCAAGTGGTCTGAGAACATCACACATATCCTTTTAATTTTGTGGACATTTGTTTTAATGGCCCAGAATAGGTTATCCTAGTAAATGTTCTATGTGAACTTGAAAATAATGTGTATTTTGCTGCTGTTGTCTTTTAAAAAAATTCCTTTTTTATGCTAATGCACTGTTAGTACAGAGAACAAATTAAATCTAGTTCATAGATATACATAGATAAAGTTCTAAAAATATCATGCTGTTCTGTTCCTCTGCAGTTTGAGATTATTTATAGTGTTTTTCAAGACTACTGTGTACTTTGGGGCTTTTTTTGGGGGGGTCTATTCTATCAATTATTGGGAAAGGTGTCAATATAATTGCAAATTTGCCTATTTTCCCATGAAATGCTATTAGTTATTATCTAATGTATTTTGAAGGTCTTATTAAGTACATAAAAATTTTAATACTACTGTGCCTTTTGATGAATTGACCCTCTCTATTGCTAATAGTATTTTTTTTTGCTCTGAAATTTACTCTGTGTAATATTAATGTAGCCACTCCAGCTTTCTTTTGATTAGTGTTGGCATGGTATATTTGTACAAATTTTCCTTTTTTAAAAAATTTTATTTATGTTATAGAAGTTTCATGTATTTCATATGTACAGATTTAGAAACATAATGATTCTTCCCACCCAACCCTTCCTCCTGTCCATGTGCCAACCTTTTTTACTGCTCCCTTTCCATTCCCACTCTTAAATTTTACAAAGATCTACTTTCAGTTTACTTAATGGTTGTAAAGTTAGCCCTACACTAAGTAAGTAGTTCAATAAATAATATGAGAAAAAAAAAAACACTATTCCTCAACAGAAGTAACAAGGACTGTAAATAATCATCAAATCTCAAAATGTCCATTTCACTATAATACATTATATTTTAGGTACTCTATTAGTTACCTGAGATCAGAGAAAACATATGGTATCTGTCTTTTTGGGACTAGCTTTTTTCACTAAGTATAATGCTTTCCAGTAGTGTCCATTTTGTTGCAAAAGACAGGATTTCTTTTCTTTTTTTTATAGATAATTAGTACTCCATCATGTAGATATTCTGTTTTTTTTTAAAAAAGATTTATTTATTTATTTGAAAGTCAAAGAGAGAAGGAGAGACAGAGAAAGAGAGAAAGGTCTTTGTTCCACTGGTTTACTCCCCAGTTGGCCGCAATGGCCAGAGCTGCGCCGATCTGAAACCAGGAGCCAGGAGCTTCTTCCGGGTCTCCTACATGGGTGCAGTGACCCAAGGACTTGGGCCATCTTCTACTGCTTTCCCAGGCCATAGCAGAGAGCTGGATTGGAAGTGGAGCAGCTGGGTCTCGAACTGGCGCCTATATGGGAAGCTGGCACTGCAGGTGGTGGCATTACCTGCTACGCCACAGCATCGGCCTCAAATATATTCCATGATTTCTTTATCCAGTCAGTAGTTGATGGACATCTGGATTGATTCCATATCTTAGCTTTTGTGAATTGTGCTGCAGTAAACATGGGGTACAGATAACTCTTTCATCTGCTGATTTCTTTTGGTTTGGGTCAGTTCCCAGGAGTGGGCTCCCTGAATCATATGGTAGGTCTAGTTCAGATTTCTGAGGTATCTGCATACTGTCTTCCACAGTGGCTGCACCAGTTTACATTCCCACGAACAGTGGGTTAGGGTACCGTTTTCCCCACATCCTTAATAGCCTTTGTTGTTTGTTGACTTCTGTATGAGAACCATTCTAACTGGGGTGAGATGAAACCTCATTGTGGTTTTGATTTGCATTTCCCTAAGGGCTGGTGATCCTGGAGTTTTCTCAAATGTCTGTTGGTCATTTGAATTTCTTTTCTTTTTTTTTTTTTTTACAGGCAGAGTGGACAGTGAGAGAGAGAGAGACAGAGAGAAAGGTCTTCCTTTGCCATTGGTTCACCCTCCAATGGCCACCGCAGCCGGCGCGCTGCGGCCGGCGCACTGCGCTGATCCGAAAGCAGGAGCCAGGTGCTTCTCCTGGTCTCCCATGGGGTGCAGGGCCCAAGCACTTGGGCCATCCTCCACTGTGCTCCTGGGCCATAGCAGAGAGCTGGCCTGGAAGAGGGGCGACGGGGACAGAATCTGGTGTCCTGACTGGGACTAGAACCCGGTGTGCCAGCACCGCTAGGTGGAGGATTAGCCTGTTGAGCCGCGGTGCCGGTCTCATTTGAATTTCTTTGAAAAGTGTCTGTCTGAGACCTTAGCCCATTTCTTGACTGCTTGTTTTGTTGTTGAATTTCTTAAGCTCTTTATAGATTCTGGATATTAAGGCTTTACCAGTTGCATAGTTTGCAAATATTTTATCCCATTCTGTCTGTTGCCTCTTCTCTTTGCTGAGTGTTTCTTTTACAGTGCCGAAGCCTTTCAGCTTGATGTAATTCCATTTGTCTATTTTGGCTTTGATTGCCTGTGTCTCTGGGGTGTTTTCCAAGAACATCTTGCCTATGCCAATGTCTTGCAGAGTTTCCCCAACATTCTCTAATGATTTGATGGCATTAGATTATAGATTTTTATGTTTGATCCATTTTGAGTGGATTTTGTTTAAATTGTAAGGTAGGGGTCTAGTTTCATACGTCTGCATGCAGAGATCCCGTTCTCCCAGCACCATTTGTTGAAGAGACTGTCTTTACTCCTGCAATTGATTTTAGCTACTTTGTAAAAAGTAAGTTGGTTTTAGATGCGTGGATTGATTTCTGGATTTTTTTATTATATTCTGTTGGACTACAAGTCTCTTTTTTGTGCCTGTACCAGGCTGTTTTGACCATAGCTGCCTTGTAGTATGTCTTAAAATCTGGTACTGTGATGCCTCTGGCTTTGTTTTTGTTGTATAAGATCGCTATAGCTATTTTGGGTCTCTTGTGTTTCCCTATGAATCCGTTAGGTCCATTTGGTGTATAATGTTGATTTTTTTTAAAGATTTTATTTATTTATTTGAGAGGTAGAGTTACAGAAAGTGAGAGGGAGATACAGAGAGAAATGTCTTCTTTCCGTTGGTTCACTCCCCAAGTGGCCGCAATGGCCGGAGCTGTGCCGATCCAAAGCCAGGAGCCAGATGCGTCCTCCCGGTCTCTCATGTGGGTGTAGGAGCCCAAGGACATGGGCCATCTTCTTTTGCTTTCCCAGGCCACAGCGGAGAGTGAATTGGAAGAGGGGCAGCCGGGACTAGAACCAGCGCCCATATGGGATGTCCGGCTGCAGGCAGAGGATTAACCAGCGCCATGGCGCCAGCCCCTATAATGTTGATTAATTGTTGTTTCCTTGATGATTTTCTGTCTGGTTGATCTGTCCATTGCTGAAAGTGGGGTATTGAAGTCCCCCATTACTGTTGTGTTGTAGTCTATGTCTCACTTTAGATCCATTAACATTTCTTTTAACGAGCCAGATATCCTGTAATAGGGTACATGTACATTTATTATAGTCACATTTTCCTGTTGAATTGATCCCTTATCCATTGCACAGTGCCTTTCTTTGTCTCTTTTAACAGTTTTTGTGTTAAAGTCTATTTTGTCTGATATTGGGATGGCTACACCAGCTCTTTCTGTTAGCATGGAGTATCATTTTCTGTGCTTCCACCTTCAGTCTTCAGGTATGCTTGTTGGCTAGTTTCTCATAAGCAGCAAATACATGGGTCTTGTTTTTTAATCCATTCAGCCAGTCTATCTTTTAACTGGAGAGTTGAGGCCATTTACATTCAGGGTGACTATTGATAAATAACAACTTGGCCTAGACATTTTTCCATAAATATTCCTATTGTTTACTTTGGGTTTCCTTTGTGCTTTTACTGGGAGATTTTTTTGCCTTCACATTCTTTCATAGTGATGACCATGTTTCTCTGTGTAGCACATCCTTAAGCATTTTTTGTAAGGCTGTGAGTAGTAACAAATTCTTTCAATTTATGTTTGTTCTAAAAGTTTTTATTTTACCTTTATTCATGAATGAGAGCTTTTCAGGTTACAGTATTCTGGGTTAATAGGTTTTTATTTCTTTGGACTTGGAATATATCTTACTATTCTCTCCTGGCCTGTAGGGTTTCTGATGAGAAGTCCGGTGTGAGTTTAGTTAGAGATCCTCTGAAAGTAATCTGACATTTCTATCGTGCACATTTTAGAATCTTTCCTTTATGTTTTACTATGAAAAGTTTGCCTACAATGTGTTGTGGTTAAAATCTTTTCTGATCATGTCTTTTATGAGTTCTGTGTGCTCCCTGTACTTGGATGTACCTTTCTTTCTCCAAACTGGGAAGTTTTCTGTAATTATTTCACTAAAAAGGCTTTCTAATCCATTCTTTCTTTCCAGACCTTCAGGAACTCCTAAGACCCGTATGTTGGGTCATTTGGTAGTATACCATAAATCTCCAAGACTGTTTTTTAGTTTTATAATTTCTTCTTTTTTTTTCTGGTCTATAAATTTCCAGAGATTTGTCTTCTAACTCAGATATTCTTTCTTCTGCCTCACTGATTGTTTTTCACTACATCTTTTATTTGTTTGTTTTTTTTTTTAATTCTTCATTTCTAAGATTTCTCTTTAAAATCTCAAGTTCATTGGAAAAATTTTTATTCATGTCATGTATGGATTTCTCTAGTTCATGGCTTTGCTTCTGATTACTTCTGAGTAATCCTATGATTAATTTTTTGAATTCCATTTCTGGCATTTCATCAATCCCTGCATCTTCACATTCTAGTATTGAAGTGCTAGTATTATTGTGTTCCTTTGGAGGCATCATGTTGTCTTCCTTATTCTTGCTTTTTGAATTGCTGTGTTTATTTTAGGCATTTGTGGAGTTCTTTTTTTTTTTTTTTTTCCTCTGATGGCTTTTGTGTTTGGACTGTGTCTCTGTGGCTTAGTGGAATGTCTGCTCTTTTAGTGAATACCTAGAGGTGTGTGCTGGGTGTGGCCGTGGAGCTCTATTCAGTACTCCAGGGTTAGGGGAGTATCCAAGTGACACCCAATTTGGGCATGGTAGATCTCTTTGTTTTCAGAGGGGAAAGTTTGATCAGTTCTGTTGGCATAATCTCACACTCGGCTCCTCTCCTCCATCATGAGCAATGCCTAGTGCTGGCCCCTTTGGGTGTAATATTCATCCATGCTGCCACAAGAACCACACAAAGGATCCATGCAGTCCTCAGTATGAGAAAGGATCCTGCAACAGTGACATACCCCAGACAATCAGGGAGCCCTTAGTGTGTGGAGCTGTCCACAGTGACTGCCCAGAGACCTAGTCACACCCTATGCCCTCCCACACAGCCAAAGTTCCCACAGTCCTAGCACACTGGACTCCCAGTCATGTGGTACCAAGGACCCACTCTGCCCTGCCAGTCTGTCTCATCTTCAGCAAGGCGAAGATGCTCCCAGGGCTGGCTGCCTATAGGTACTCCACCCAGGCAGCCTCAGTCCCAGAGCCTTTGAAACACTGGGAGGAGGCTGGGGACACTTCACACTCCTATATGGGCATCTAGCCTCCTGTCATTCCTCCCAGCCAAACTCTGATGTCTCTTGTTGGTTGGCGCTGGGCACACAGACAGATGCTGGTGCAGTTGTTATCTATGTCCACAATGGTGCCTGTCCTCTCTCAGCTAGTTGCAGGGCACCATTATTGGGGGCTCAGGGAAAAACATGCCCCTTTTTTCCCTCTAGGTTGGCAGGTACACTATCCCCCAGATGACTCCAGGTCAGACTTACATCAGGCTCTCCTCATGGCTTTATCACCAGTGGCTTGGGCTGCTGCTGTCTGGTATGACCTCTCACTCTCCAAAGTGATACTGAGGCTCTTGGCTGCTAAAGTCTGTGTTGTGTCCATGCTCATTCTGCATGTCCACACCTTCCACATAGATCCATAGTGTCCTTCTAACTTGTGTGGTGTTTCCACTGCAGTTTTCTCCCTAAGTCTTTCCTGAGGTTGTATTCTCTCCACTTTTTTTTTTTTTATTTTAACTATCTTCCCCTAGACTAGAGCAGTAAGCTCTCTCTCTATTCTGCCATGTTGAAATCTGCTGGTATTGACCATTTTAAAATCATTTATGAAAATATTTTTCAGGACTCTTGCTCTTTTTTTCTATTAGGTTTATCTTCTGTGATTTACAGAGCTTTTTGTATTTTAGATGGAAAGTTTGTTGGTACCGTGTATTGCAAATATCATCTACTTTATAGGTTGCTTTTGCACTGAGTATTGTCGAGCAGATTCTGTTTGTTGCTACCATCATGCGCTTAGCATTCTCTTTTGGCAAGGGAGATCTGTTATAGAAAACACCTCAGATTCTCTGCCTGGATCTATTCTCTTCAGAGGAGAAGCCAAGGAGCATCAGGGAGTTAATACTCCTGGCAACAGTTCTAGTCTGATGAATAGGAAATGGTGAATAACTACTCCATTTTCTTTACCTCCAAACAAACTCCTGAAGTTTATTCTACAACATCTCTCAGAGGTCTCTAATAGTGCCATATATTAGTAATCTGATCATTATTGCATCCTGCATGGCTGTTCTTCCTTGTCATGCTTCTCCATTCCCTTTCCTGTTTGTTAGTGCTGGAATCTCTTTCTCTTTCTTTCTTTCTTTCTTTCTTTCTTTCTTTCTTTCTTTCTTTCTTTCTTTCTTTCTTTCTTTCTTTCTTTCTTTCTTTCTTTCTTTCTTTCTTTCTTTCTTTCTTTCTTTTTTGTTTAAATATGTATTTGTTTATTTGAAAGTCAGAGTTACACAGAGAGAGAAGGGGAGGCAGAGAGAGAGATCTTCCATCTGCTGGTTCACCCCTCATTTGACTACAATGGCCAGAGCTGCGCCAATCTGAAGCCAGGAGCCAGGAGCTTCTTCCAGGTCTCCCATGTGGGTGCAGGGGCCCAAGGACTTGGTCCATCTTCCACTTCTTTCCCAGGCCATAGCAGAGAGCTGGATCAGAAGTGGAGCAGCCGGGACTCAAACCGGCACCCAGGCAATGGCTTTACCTGCTACACCACAGTGCCAGCCCCCCAATAATTTCTAATCATTCACTAGGCTGTCATCCTGCTAGGCTAATATAGAATAGTATAGAAAATATGGTAAGCGTAGAAGGATCAACAAAAAAACCAGTTCTTATATTAACTATTTATAGTGTCCATATTTGGATTTTTATCTTCACAGGTTAATGCAGCTGAATCAAAGATAACAAATTTAATATACCTAAAACATACCTTGGAACTTGTGGATCCTCTAAAGGTAATTTAGATATGTAATGTACAAAACGTATGAATACAGATTTCAAACATTCATGACAGAGATCTTTTGATTCTCTAATACTGCATCTAGAAATATGTTTGAAAGAAGTATTCAGAAAAAAAAAAAAAAACCTAAATGAAAGATCTCTGCGAGTGAGATCCCAGTGGAAAAAACGGGTCATCAAAGAAGGAGGTACCTTTCTCTGAAGGGAGGAAAGAACTTCTACTTTGACCATGGCCTTGTCTAAAAATTATGAGTCAGTGAACTCAGGGGGCTTCCATAGCCTTGGCAACTCATGACAAGAGCCTAGGGTGATTACTGATGCCATAAACAAGAGTGTCAATTTGTTAAGTCAACAACAGGAGTCACTGTGCACTTACTCCTCATGTAGGATCTCTGTCCTTAAGGTGCTGTACATTGAGATTTAATGCTATAACTAGTACTCAAACAGTATTTTTCACTTTATGTTTCTGTGTGGGAGCAAACTGTTGAAATCTTTACTTAATGTATGCTAAACTGATCTTCTGTATATAAAGAGAAACAAAAATGAATCTTGATGTGAATGGAAGGGGAGAGGGAGTGGGAAAGGGGAGGGTTGCGGGTCGGAGGGATTTTATGGGGGGGAAGCCATTGTAATCCATAAGCTGTACTTTGGAAATTTATATTAATTAAATAAAAGTTAAAAAAAAAAGAAAGAAGTATTCAGAAATGTTGCTTAACATTTTTGTCTGGTGATAATGATTACAGCATTGTTTCATATTAGTGAGAAATAATAAGTCAATCAGAACTTCAATTATTGTAGAAAGAAATTATTACTTTCTACAGGATGTAATATTAGTATTATCTTTTTGCTGTTAAGACTTCCTAATACTTATGTGTGGTATTAAGTGGGATGTGATGAAAAGAGATTACAATGATATACATTTTTGTGTCAAACAGTGAGAAGAAATACAGCATTTAAGTATTTATCTTTGGAAATATAATTAGAAATATGAGTGATTCAGTTTTTCTTTATGCTTCAATGAGTTTTTTAGTTTTCATCAGTATATGTATGATATTTGATATTTTTCTATTTATAAAAATAATTTTTTATTGCCTAATGTCAAACTAAAATATGGTTGGGGCCAGTGCTGTGGCACAGCGGGTTAACGCCCTGGCCTGAAGTGCTGGCATCCCATACGGTCACCGGTTCAAGATCCGTCTGCTCCACTTCTGATCCAGCTCTCTGCTATGGCCTGGGAAAGCAGTAGAGGATGACCAAGTCCTTGGGCCCCTGCACCTGCGTGGAATACACGGAAGAAGCTCCTGGTTCCTGGCTTCAGCGCAGCTCCAGATGTTGCAGCCAACTGGGGAGTGAACCAGCAGATGGAAGACCTCTCTCTCTCTGCCTCCTTCTGTCTCTGTTTAACTCTGACTTTCAAATAAATAAAGTAAATCTTTTTTTTAAAAAAACACTAAAATATGGCATGAAGTTCAGGTTAACTATGTTTGTTCCTCTTTTCTGTTTATTCAGTTGGTGACTACTCAGAGTTTCCATTAAGCAAAATAAAGTTCCTTCTTTGCCACATAAGAATGGAGAAACTTCTGTTCATAAATGTACAAAGTACTTTTTTAAATTTATTTGTATCTAACTCAAATTTTGGAATTACCTGTGAAGTAAATGTATAGCAGTATCTGCTTACATATCTACCTCTATAAGTGGTTGAATATTAACAATGAGTTGGGAGACAAGACCAGTAAAAATCACAGTAGGGAATTATTGTCTGTTATTTACTAGCCATGTGCTCTTTATCTTGAAAATGGAATGGAAAGGATACCATCTGTGCTTACCTACATGCATTTATTTATTTATTTATTTTAAGATTCTATTTATTTGACAGGCACAGTTGCAGACAATGAGAGAGAGAGAGACAGAGAAAGGTCTTCCTTCTGTTGGTTCACTCCCCAAGTGGCCGCAATGGCCGGAGCTGTGCCGATCCGAAGCCAGGAGCAAGGTGCTTCCTCCTGGTCTCCCATGTGGGTGCAGGAATCCAAGCACTTGGGCCATCCTCCACTGCTTTCCCAGGCCACAGCAGAGAGCTGGACTGGAAGAGGAGTAACTGGGACTGGAACCAGCACTGCAGGCAGAGGATTAACCTAGTGCGTCATGGCGGCCCCACCTACATGCATTTATATGAATGTAAAACTGAGAAAATGAAGCAAGTAATAACTTGGTATTGTAAAAAGTATTAATTTTAAAATGCTGTGTTTAATAATTGCATAATTTATTATCCTTAACTGTTTTGTATTTTATTCCCTAATAGATTGCTCTGAAGAACTGTAACACACCTTTGTTAAGAGCATATTATGGTTCCTTGGAAGATAAAAGGTCTTTGTCACTCAATTGTTATATGAACTTATTCCTTTTTTTCCTAATCATAACTGATTCTAAAGATTCTAACTGTATTCTATACAACAGTTACTTAAGTTTTGGTTAATTACTTAAGTTTTGTTTTCTTTAAACTGTTCATTGGAATTTTAATATATACAGCACATTCCATAAAGGTGATGAATATGGAAATAATACATTATTTACTTATGCTAATAGATAAGAATACTATGAAATGTTGAAATCCAGATACAGTCCTATTTTTTTTATCTATTCTCTACAGAAGACTTGCAAATATAAAAATGTATTCTTCTATTTTGTTAAATCATGAAGGGCCTAATGTAACCAAAGCATAATAGATATGAATATTGAATAAAATTCAATATAATTTAATTTTAAGATTCTTAAATTATTAGCATTACCTCGACTTTTTTAAGGCAGTTAATAAGTTTATCATTTATTTAGTTATGAAGCAGAGAGATGGGAGAACGGGGATAACTGAAGCTGGTAGCTGGGAATTTAATCCAGGTCTCCTATGTGGGTGGCAGGAAACCAGTTACTTCAGCCAATGCTGCTGTCTCTCAGGATAAGTATTAGCAGAAAGCCAGAGTCAAGAGATGGAGATGAATCAAACCCATCACTCTGATATGGGATGCAAATGTTTTAACCAGCATGTTCCTTACCTAGGTCAAACTCCTATCCTGGCATGCTTATTCTTGACCAAAAAGATTTGTCATACTTAAGAACTATTTCACTGATTCAAAATTTTACCCTGTGTTTGATTACAAATTGAAATTAATAATATAAGTGACTTAGTTACAAATAGAATACAGAACAGAATAAAAGGAAAGCTTAAGAAAATAGGTGTTTCCAGATTTCCAGCTTACATAATCACTGCACTTAATCATTAATGATTATGAGGTTCTTGTTATATTGTCTCACAATATGTATTTATTCTTTCTTGTCCATACTAAGTGCAGGTTCCATGTTATCCCTCTTTGAATCCCTGCACCTAGCACAGCACTTGATACGTGCATTAAGTAAATGATTATTGAATCTATAAACATGAATCCATAATTTTTATAACTATTATTTAGGGGTATATTTTGTTCTCCCAGGAACAGTTTGTATAATTTGGGAGCTCTATATGTGAGCAGATTTTAGAATTGCTCTTGGTGGTTCTCATGCTGTTTTATTTTTTTTTTATTTATTTATTTTTTTAATCTTTTATTTAATGAATATAAATTTCCAAAGTACGACTCATGTGTTACAATGGCTTCCCCCCCATACCGTCCCTCCCACCCACAACCCTCCCCTTTCCCACTCCCTCTCCCCTTCCATTCACATCAAGATTCATTTTCGATTATCTTAATATACGGAAGATCAGCTTAGTATACCTTAAGTAAGTATTTCAACAGTTTGCTCCCACACAGAAACATAAAGTGAAAAATAATAGATGATTTTTTTTAAATGATGATGAAATCAGATCAGACCTATTGTCATGTTTAATCCCTCTCATGCTGTTTTAAACTAGTACTGACAAGAAATACTCTAAAATGGACATAATAATTCCTCTTATATAAATGTAAATATTTATTGCTTAATTATTTATTCAAAGTCAATTTCAAGAAAATTTTGCTACCATTAACTGTGATTCAAATTAAAAATTAAGGGGCCAGCATTGTAGTTAAGTCCCTGCTTGGAATACCCACATTGTATATCAATTTAAATACTGGCTCTTCTGCTTCCTGTGCAGCCTACTAATGTACCTGGGAAGGCAGTGGATGTTGGCCCAAGTATTTAATTTCCTGTTGCCCGTGTGGGAGACCCAGATGGAGTTCCAGGCTCCAGGTTTTAGCCTAGCCCAGACATGGTATTGCAGGCATTTGGAGAGTAAACAGGCAGATTGAGAATCTCTCCCTCTATCTCTCTTTCTCTAACATTACCTTTCAAATATATAGACAAATATTTTTAAAAATTATAAATTGATACAATATTCTTTTTTTGGCCTAAATGTTAGGTTTGGAATCATACTTGAAAAGATTAAAACAGTAATTAATGATGATGCAAAACACATGAAGGGATGCCTGAATATGAGGACTCAGAAGTGCTATGCAGTGAGGTCTAACATAAATGAATTTCTTGACATAGCTAGAAGAACATATACAGAGATTGTTGATGACATAGCAGGTAATTCACTTATTTGAACATTTTTTGTTTGTCTTTTAGGAATAAAACAAACTTTTTAGGAGAAGCTATGGTTTTTCACTGATGATGACTAGTCAGGCTTGTTTTCAATTTACATTTTTGTCCAAAACAGACAAGGTTACTGTTTTATAGTGCCATTTTAAAAGACTTTTTTTTTAAATAAAAAGGTGGATGTTTTAAATTTTTCCTTTTCTCCAAGCTTACATATGAGTATAGAGTTACTTGCTTACAGCATTATATATAAGCTATATTAAAAATGTAGTCTACCACTATTAAAAAGTTTCAGTGGGGGAAAGATGTCATTTTTATATAGGAGAGGTGGTATTTGAGTCAGTCCAGTAATTATTTTTACAAGAGCTTGTACTACATATAGACACTGTTCTGTATGCTAGAAATATATAGTGAACAAGACAAAGTCCCTGTTCTGATGAGTTTATAACAGGAAAGACATGCAGTAAAGAAATAGATGCATACACGCACATGTAACCGAGTGTCAAGCTGATAAATTTTTTTCTTCCCCAAAATTGTGCTTAAAAACCCCACCACTACCAGCCCCTTTGGGTTTTGCCTCTCTTGGAGACCTCTTCCCATGCCACTTTGGCTGGAGGTCTCTGATTCTAATAAATCTTGCTTCTAAATCTCAAAAAAAATTAGACACAGTAGGAGATTAATAATAGTAATTAGATAGAACAATTATGTGAATATGATCTCTCTTAAAACATCTTAATATACATGCTAAGAGGCAAGTAGTTACATACAGAGTGGGTATACTGGACAAATCTCAAGAGGGATAGGAAGATAATAATGTAAGATTTCATCCTGTTGCTCAGAGTAGCACATAATTTAAAACTTAGGAATTGTTTTTTTGTTTCCTGGAATTTTTCATCTAATGTTTTCAGACTGTATTCAACCTGAGAAACTTTGGAAAGTAAAGCTACAAATAAGGAAAGATTACTATATAAATTTAGAACGTTGCTGAATGTGAAGTTGATAGGGAGATTCGGAATGCTTTAGGAATTTTGTTTCATAAGTGGTCTATCTCCTTTTTGAAACTTTTTTGAATTTATATTTACAGAGGAAATTTGTTATTGTACATTCGTGATTACAATAATTTATTTGATTTTTTTAAGAAGTAGATTGACTAGCACATCAAAAACTGTATATTCCTAACATAGAGGGTATAAAATAAACAGTTTCCTCATTTTTAGTTTTTATGAATTCTTTTCCTTTAGAAATATCTATTAAAATGAGTACCTTTGTTTTGGTGTTGAGTGTTTTTAAGAAAAAGATACTTAGCTACATTGAACATCTTTAGAATTTAAAAGACCTTCCGATTTGTATATAAAATGACAAGAAAAAACTATTGTGACTCCTTAAACAGAGTAATTTTTTCACTGAAATGCCTTCATTTTGTTATGTTTTTGTTTTTCTTGTTTCTGGTCATTAGGAATGATATCGCAGCTGGCAGAAAAATATAATCTTCCTTTAAGGACAAGTTTTAGTTCTGCTCGAGGATTTTTCATCCAGATGACTGTAGATTGCACAGCTCTACCCAATGATCAACTTCCTTCAGAATTTATCAAGGTTCATTCTAGAGTGCTTAGAAAATTGTTGTTTCTTATTTCACAAAATTACAGTTATATGTTTTTAGGCACTCTTTGATTTTTACATGCCAAATATTTTAATATTCTGTATGTTACTTTTCCCTCCTATTCCTGTCCCCCAGCCTAACAGCTATACTAATCTAAGAATGATTTAGATGCTATTTTTGGGGAGAAATAGCAAGCCCAGTGAGAGGAAAATGGAGAAAGTGCAAAGGTGGTTTTGGCAAAGGAAATTAGGAAATGTTGCACCACTGCCTGTGTTAGGTATTTATCAAGGAACATTACTTGTTAAAGGTTTAAATGTTCTGAAGAAAACAAATCTGCCTAAAATTTTTTAAAAATATTTGCTAATTTTTTATTTGAGAGGCAGAGGCAGAGAGAGAGAGAGAGAGAAAGAGAGAGAGATCTTCCATTCACTGGTTCACTCCCCAAATGGCCGCAACAGCTGTAGCTGAGCCAGTTTGAAGCCAGGAGCCAGAAACTTCTTCTGGGTCTCCCACGATTGTGCAGGGGCCCAAGGACTTGGACCATCTTCTACTGCTTTCCCAGGCCATAGCAGAGAGCTGAATCGGAAGTGGAGCAGCACCCATATGGGATGCCAGCACTGCAGGTGGAGGCTTTACCCACTGTGCCACAGCGCTGCCCCCCTAACTTTTTTTTTTTTTTAATCTAATATTTCCAAACTTGTAGACCATGAAAATATTTCTTCCTAGATGCATATGGAGTTGACAATATACCAGTTTGGGCAAGCCTAACACACTTTAATCTGCTTTCTCTGCTTCTAAAGGATACCTTTTGAAAAAAACAAACCATGTAGCTTTCAGGATCTCACACAGCATTTTTACCAAGTAATGAGGGATAGATGAAATAAAGAATGGACTGAAATAAGGCAGTGCAGTTAGACATTGAGTGAAATTCAGATATGAGATGGGGTCAGAGATAGAATGAGGATCACTGAGATATATCATGCATGCTACTTGGTTATAAAATGCAGTATTTTACCATTTCTATAAGGTCATTTTTTAAACATTTTATTGAAATATTGTGCACAGACTAAGAAATATATGTAAGTATACATATAAAATAGTTTTTTGGTCATCTGATCACACTCATAACCAACACTAAATTAAGAATAAAACTGTTTTAAGCCCTGCTAAAATAGTTGTGTTGGATGGACTAGATTGAAAATATTCTGCTCTGTCTTTTGAAGTAATCTTCCTTTTGTCTTTCACAAATATTACTTAGAACTTTCTTTGTGGTACTCTGTCAAGAATTAAAATTTTTACACTAATACCTATATTCTATTGTTTAAAATCTGTATGTTTTCTTTCTTTGGAGTGTGCATGTGTCTTGATATTTGATTTTTACTTTCCTAGCAGATTTCTAAAGTGAAAAATTCTTACAGCTTTACATCAACAGATTTAATTAAAATGAATGAAAGATGCCAAGAGTCTTTGCGAGAAATCTATCACATGACTTATATGTAAGAACATTTGAAGTATTTGAGTATTGAATTAAATTGACTTGACTTAATTTGAGGAACTGTGATAAATTTCATTAATTGACCTTTTGTCTGATTACAGACAATTGTAGAATTGTGAATAGTAGCTAAGAAATTCTATCACTAGGATTAGGATCACTGAGCCTCATGGAAGCTTTAGTGAAAATTTTACTGCAAAAAATTTGCATTGTAACTGATACTTATGTAGTATGTATTCTATGATGCAGAATTTGGCACAGCATGAGCTTATCTTGGGCTTTATTTGGTTTATTCTTTTCCTATGGTCTTTAAGACTTTAGCTTCTCAAACTTTGATATTTTGAAACTTAGCAGCATAGAAATAATGCCAATTCTTTTGCTGTTTGTGAAACTTAAGACAGTTAAAAAGAAGAAATAGAACATTCATAATTGTTGAGCTGAGACAATAAAGATTGGGCTTTCAAAACAATTTCAAAGCATGGACTACAAACTATACTACACACTAAGTTTTTGATACATATTTATACTTGTAAGGGGAGAACTTTTGAGCTTTATCACAGTTTAACTTTAATTCATAAAACTTAAGTAATTGTTATTCAGATGTGTCTGTGGTGGGGACAGAAAAACGGAAGAAAGAGAAAATACATAATAGAGGAGAGAGAAAATACATAATAGCTTTTGTGTTAAACTTAGCATTTGCAAATGCACAAAATAATTAGTAGATGAGTCTTTCCAAGTATAGTGAGGGCTTGATTTGACCAATATAAAATATTTTTATGAATGAAATCTTGTTTATTAATGTTTAATAAAAGCATGCATGTAGAAAACATAGTGTTACTTTATTAGAAGATGGATTCTGTGGGGAGCAACTGGGAGCAACTCGGACTAGACTAAGTTACTGGAATTAAGACTTATTCTATGCATCTGCTCTCCCACAATATGGCGCTGAGAAGGGAGAAACAGCTTCTACACAGCTGCCTCCAGTTCAACCAATAAACTGTAGGACCTGCTCGGCGTGTGGGTAGCAGAGTTGGGATTGGTGGAAGAGGACTATAAAGGAGGGGAGAGACAACATGCACCAGGAACATCTATTTGAAGGAACACCTGTGCAGCCCCCGAGAGAGCCGGCCGGCGGTGTGCCGCTCCCCTGCGGAAGTGGGGAAAGTGGCTAGGGGGAACCGCCCTTCCACGGAGGTGGAAGGGTTGGTAGCCAACCCGGGAAGAACCAGCAGCAAACCTGGGGAGGGCTGAGCAGACAAAAGAACAGCGCAGGGTCCTGTGTCGTTCCTCCACGAAGAGGGGGAGCGACAGATTCTTTGTCACTTAGTGGCTGTAACTTTGAAAAGTGTCAATGAGACAGATGAATATTAGACTCTATATGTAGTGTATAGCTCAAAAGAATATTATTTTACCTCAGGCAATGACTCTAATATTATTTTGTAGGTACATTATATGTTGTTTTTTAAAAGTCCTAACAACATGTCTTACCACATGTGTGCTTTCAGGATAGTATGCAAACTGTTGAGTGAGATTTACGAGCATATTCATTGCTTATATAAACTGTCTGACACTGTGTCAATGCTGGATATGCTGCTTTCCTTTGCCCATGCCTGCACTCTTTCTGACTATGGTAAGTTACTTTCTTTGGAATAAACATGTATATTAAAATTATATTCCATTCAAATTATTTTATGTATCAATTATGAATGTTTTAAATGTTTTCTCAAAATATGGTCTCTTGTCTGTGGTCCTAGACTAAGGTACAAAATAGAGAAAGTGAAATTAACTTTAAAATTACTTTTAATGTTGGGCCAGCATTGTGGTATAGTAGTTAAATCTACCACATGTGATGCTGGCATCACATATGGGTGCTAGTTAGTGCCCAGGTTGCTCCACTTCCAACTCAGCTCCTTTCTAATGGCCCAGGAAAAGCAGCAGAAGATGGCCCAAGTGTTGGGCCCTTGTTACCCTTATAGGAGACCCAGAAGTAGTTCCTGGCTTGGCTTTGTCCTGGCCCAGCCCTGGCTTTTGTAACCATTTGGGGAGTGAGTCACAGGATGGATGATCTCTCCCTGTCTCTAACTCTGACTTTCAAAATGAATAAATTAATAAATCTTCAAAAATTACTGTTAAATGGCAAAAATTATTCACTGAGAAATTAGCAAATCAGAAAGAAACTGTTAGAAGCTCTAAAAATTCTCCAAATAAGATTGCAGAGGTGTCCTTACTGAAAATAAAAATGAATCTAATTTGTATAGTTAGAATTGAAGTACTCATTAGAACCGGTGTGACAAATACTAATAGAAATGAGTATGCAAATAAACATTTTCATCCACTCTATCCATTACATGTGTGAATACCGAGTTCAGGAATTATATATTTTTGTATCCTAAGTCTATACACAGGCCTTAAATATATTTGTTAAGTAATTTTCTCATGTTTAATAAAAACTTCAGTTGTTAGCCCTTTGAAATTTCTTATCCAGATTATCAATAATAATCATATTCCAGGATGTAGAATTGCAGGACTAAAACTTGATAATTATGGTTGAATCATAAGATGTAGTAATAGTAAAAATATTAAAATTTCTACTTAAAATTAGCAGTAATATAGCAAAAATCTGTTAATTTTTTATGGAATGTATCTTACAAAAACTTGTTTCATATTTCCATGATAGTGACTAAGCCAAGCTTTGAATTTATTTTATAAATAAACTTTCCATTTCAGAAGTTTTAAATTTACAAAACACATTTTTTGAAGTAGTACTGAGTTCCTGTATACCCTAGACCCAGTTTCCCCTATTGTTAACATATTTGTATAATATTTTTGTCACAATTAAATAAGACCCAGCTTTCCTTATCATTAATATTTCGTTTCAGTATGATAAATTTGTCACAGTGGTCCACACCCAGATTCCCATTTTTTTTAATCCAAAATCCCTCTATCCCTTCCAAACCTCTCAGCCTCCAGCAACCAGCATTGTGTACTCATACAGATGTTTTTAGCTCCCACATATGAAAGAGAACGTTGTAGTAATTGTCTTTCTCTTATGTTCCTATGTATTTATTTATTTTAAAGACTTGATTGTTTATTTGAAAGGTAGAGTTACAGATAGGGAGAGAGAGAAAAAGAGAGAGCAAGATCTTCCATCTACTAGTTCACTCCTCAGATGGCCTCAACAGCCAACCCTGGCTCATACTCAGCTGCCCCTATTAATACATTGTATTAGCATGATAGATCTGCTACAATCAATAACCCATGCCCAGGGGACAGCATTGTGGTGCCCCAAGTTAAGCCACACCTACAATGCCAGCATCTCACATGGACACCAATATTGTTAGTAAGAATGTAAATTGGTTCAGGCACTAAGGAAAACAATATGGTAATTTCCTTAAAAACTAAAAATAGAATTGTCATATGATCCAGAAATCCCACTATTGGGTGTGTTTTACATATTTTTGTTTTACATATTAAAAACTATTCTGGGCTGGCACTGCGGCTCACTTGGCTAATCCTCTGCCTGTGGCGCTGGCACCCCAGGTTCTAGTCCTGGTTGGAGTGCCAGATTCTGTCCCGGTTGCTCCTCTTCCAGTCCAGCTCTCTGCTATGACCCGGGAAGGCAGTGGAGGATGACCCAAGTGCTTGGGCCCTGCACCCACATGGGAGACCAGGAGAAGCACCTGGCTCCTGGCTTCGGATTGGCGCAGTGCGCCAGCTGAAGCGCACTGGCCGTAGCGGCCATTTGTGGGGTGAACCAATGGAAAAGGAAGACCTTTCTATGTCTCTCTCTCTCACTGTCTAACTCTGCCTGTCCAAAAAACAAACAAACAAACAAACAAACAAAAAAAACAAAAAACTAGTCAGTTAAAATAAGAGTCCTCTTTTTCCACATCTTGTCAGCATTCATTACTTTCTGTTTTTTGTTAATAGCTGTTCACACAAGGGCATGGTGATATCTCATTGTGATTTGATCTGCATTTCTCTGATGGCTACTAATATTGAGTACTTTTTCATTTATTTGTTGGTCATTTGTATTTCTTTTGAGAACTGTCTATTCAGGTTCTTTGCCCATTTTGTAACTGGATTGCTTGAGGTTGCTATTGGATTTTTTGAGCTCCTTGTACATTCTGGGTATTAATCCATTATTAGATAGGTAGCTTGCAAATATTTTCTCCCATTCTCTCAGATGTCTCTTCACTCTATTGTTTCCTTTTATGTACAGAGGCTTCTGAATTTGATATAATCTTATTTGTGTAGTTTTGCTTTTGTTGTTGTGCCTTTGGAGTCTTACTTAAGAAATCATTGCCTACACCAATGTCTTGAAGTATTTGCCCTGTTTTCTTCCAACAGTTTCATAGTTTCAGATCTTACATTTAGGTTCTTGATCCAACATTAGTTGATTTTTGTAAATGCTAAGAGTTAATGATCTAATTTCATTTTTCTACATTTGTCTATCCAGTTTTGCCAGAACCATTTATTGAAAAGACCAATCCTTTCTCCAATGTGTGTACTTGACAACTTTGTCAAAGATCAGTTGCCTGTATTATGTGGATCATTTTCTGGGCTGTCTTTTCTGTTCCATTATCTGTTAGTTTTTATGGCAGTGCCATGCCATTTTATTTACTTTAGTTTTTGTTGTATGCTTTGAAATGAGGTATTGTGATGCCTCCAAGGTTTTTTTTTTTTTTTTAATTCTGTTTTGCCTAAGTTTCCATGGACTATTCTCTTTTTACAGTTCTGTATGAATTTTAGAGGTTTTTTTTTTCTGATCTTGTAAAGAATGTTATTAGTATTGTGACAGGGATAGCATTAAATCTGTAGATTTCTTTAAGTAGTATGGACATTTTAACAAAATTATCCTTCTAATTCATGAACAAAGAATATCTTTCTTTTTGCCTTTTTTGTATTCTTCATGATTTTTTTCTCAATGTTTTATAAATTTTCTTATAGAGATCTTTCAATTATTTGGTTAAATTTGTTCCTGAATATATATGTATATTTTAGTTGTTGTAAATAGGATCTGTCAGATTATTGTTAAGGTATAAAAATTTTGTATGCTGCAACATTGCTGAATTAGTTTATCAATTCTAACCGCTTTTTGGTGGCATTTTTAGTTTTTTTTTTTTTTTCATGTATTTTACTTCTGTCTTCCAATTTTGGTTCCTTTTTATCTCTTTTTTTACTTACCTAATTGCTCTTTTTTTTCATTAGAAACTTAATCAGATAGATACATTTTATTTATTTACTTACATAGAAACCTTTATTTATTTTTATTTATTTTTAAACCACACCTGGAATCAGCATAGTTTTTTTATTTTTTATATTTAAAAGATTAATTTATTTGAAAAATAGAGTTACAGAGAGAGGTAGAACCAAAAAGAGAGAAGTCTTCCATCTGCTGGTTCACTTTCTAAATGGCTGCAATGGCCAAAGCTGAGCTGATCCGAAGCCAGGAGCCAGGAGCTTCTTCCTGGTCTCCCACATGGGTGTAGTGTCCCAAGGACTTGGGCTATCTTCTGCTTTCCCAGGCCATAGCAGAGTGCTGGATTGGAAGTGCAGCAGTCAGTACCCAAACTGGCCCCCATATGGGATGCTAGCACTGCAGACCAGGGCTTTAACTTTCTGTACCACAGTGCCAGCCCCAGAAATGTTTTATTTAAGGTATACAAACTTCATGCATTTTATAAATACAAGTCTAGGAACATAGTGATTTTTCCTACCCTGCCCTTCCTCCAACCCACACCCCTACCCTTCTTCCTACTCCTTCTTCTATTCCCATTCTTGTTTTTTTTTTTTTTTACTAAGATCTATTTTCAATTAATTTTATATATATAAGATTAACCATACACTAAGTGAACAGTTCAAAAAATAGTATGAAAAACAAAAACAAAAAAAAACTGCTCCTAAATGGTTGAGACAAGGGATGTTCTAAGTCATGGCATCTCAAAGTGTCAATTTCATTTCTGTAGATTACCTTTTAGATACTCTATTAGTTACCACAGAGCAGAGAGAAAAATAAGGTATTTGTCTTTTGGGGACTGCCTTATTTCACTAAGTATAATATTTTCCAGCTGTATCCATTTTGTTGCAAAAAAACAGGATTTCAGATTTTTTTTTTACTGCTGTGTAGTATTCTGTGGTGTACATATCCATACTTTCTCTGTGCAGTCTTAAGATGATAGAAATTTGGATTGATTTCATATCATAGCTATTGTGAATTGAGATGCAGTAAACCTCTGGTATAGATAACTCTTTCATAAGCTGATTACATTTCCCTTGGGTAAATTCCCAAGAGTGGGATGGCTGGGTCATATGCTAGGTGTATATTCAGATTTTGAGGTATCTCCATACTGTCTTCCACAGTGGCTGTACCAGTTTATATTCCCACAGCAGTGGATTAGGGTATCTTTTTCCCTCACATCCTTGACAGCATTTGCTGTTTGTTGATTTCTGTCTGAAGGCCATTCTAATGGGAATGAGGTGAATCTTCATTGTGGTTTTGATTTGCATTTCCCTGACAGCTAGGGATCCTGAGCATTTTTTCATGTGTCTGTTGGCCATTTGGATTTTGTCTTTTGAGAACTGCCTGTTTAAGTCCTTTGCCCATTTCCTAACTGTGTTGTTTGTTTTGTTATTGCTGAGTTTCTTGAGTTCTTTATATATTCTGGATATTAATTCTTTATCAATTGCGTAGTTTGCAGATCATTTCTCCCATTCTGTTGGTTGTCTCTTCACTTTGCTGAACGTTTCTTTTGCAGTGCAGAAGCGTCTCAATTTGATGTAGTTCCATTTGTCAATTTTGGCTTTGATTGCCTGTGCCTCTGGGGTCTTTTCCAAGAACTCTTTGCCTCTGCTGGTGTCTTGCAGGGTTTCCCCAATGTTCTCTAATAATCTGGTAGTATCAGTTTATAGATTTAGGTCTTTGATCCATTTTGAGTGCAGTTTTGTGTAAGGTTTGGTAGCTTCCTGTCATGATAAAGTTGGCTTGTCTTCTGTTTCTCTTGTGTATCTGATCCATTAGTAAATTTGGTAATTTCTTAGGATTTCATGATGGCTACTTCCAATGTAAGACTCCCTTCAGGATTTCTTGTAGGGCTGATCTGATGATAATGAATTCTATTGGCTTTTTTTTTTTTTTTTTTTTTGGAAATACTTTATTTCTACTTCCCTTCTAAAGGATAGCTTCACTTTAAATAATGCTCTTGGTTAGATTTTTTTTTTCAGACCTTGAACGTATCATCCCACTTTCTTCTTACCTGTGTAGTGTCTGTTGTTAGTCTAATATTCTTTTCTTTATTTCTAACTAGATGTTTTTTTCTCATTGCTTTAGGATTTTCTCCTTATCCTTAACTTTTGATAATTTCACTGTATTACACCTTGGAGAAGGCATTTTTTTTTTTGTGAGTCCTTTGAGCTTCTTGTATCTGGATGTCCATATTTCTTTTAAGATCTGGAAAATTTTCAACTCATTTCATTCAATAGATTCTCAGTTCCCTTTTATTTATCCTTTCCTTTGGGCATCCCTATACTATGAATATTTGTCCCCTCCATAGTAGCCTATGTGTTTTATCACCTTTTTTCATTTTTTTTCTGTCTATTTTGTTCTAATTGGGTTATTTCAAAGCTTTGTCAAATTTTGCTCAATCTGTTTTGTTGGTGAGACTACCACCAATAAATCTCATTACCGCTAATCTCATTGATATTGATTGAAATTTTAAACTCCAAAATTTCTGGTAAGTTCTTTTTAATCATTTATGACTGTTGATTTGTCATTCATAGCATGCATTATTTTTTTATTTTTTTGGCTTCACTATCTGTATTCTCTTGAATCGCATCAAGTTTCCTTTGAATCTTCATTTTGTACTTTTTCAGGGATTTCATAATTTCCTTCAAATCAAAATGCCTTTCTGGAGAACTCTTGTATTCTTTTGGAAGTGTCATGCTTTCTTCTACATGTTTCATGTGTTCCTACATTGACATATGCACATCTGGTGTAATAGTTCCTTCTTTTTTATGGAGAAGCTTTTGTTAGAAAATATTTTTTTGTTGTTGTTGTCTAGATGTAATGTGGAGTCTCAGCTGGATAGTTGCTTTGACTTTTGTCCTAGGTGATCCCAGAATCGTAACCTGTGAGTAATTTCTTCAGCTATAATCATGGTCAGCAGTGTCTACATCACAAATGTCTTCTGATGTACAGTAGTTCATAGATGTAGTAGTATCTTTCAAGTGAATGTGGGCTTTCAAAGATGTGTGTATCTTCAGGCCTCAGAGATTTAAGTGTCACGCTAGGGTTTTTGATGGCTATAATTGAGTTATCTGCATGTTGTCTTCCACAGTGGCTACAGCAGTTTACATTCCCACCAACAGTGGATTAGGGTACCTTTTTCCTCACATCCTTACCAGCACTTGTTTGTTGATTTCTGTATGAGCGCCATTCTATAGGGGTAAGGTGAAACCTCATTGTGGTTTTGACTTGCGTTTCCTTGGCTAGTGATCCTGAGCATTTTCTCAACTGTCTGTTGGCCATTTGAATTTCCTCTTTTGAAAAATGCCTGCTCAAGTCCTTTGCCTGTTTCTTAACCGGATTGTTTGTTTCGTTGTTGTTGAATTTCTTAAGCTCTTTATAGATTCTGGTATTAACCCTTTATCAGTTTACAACATGTTTACAAATATTTTCACCCATTCTGTTAGCTGCCTGGAAGAGGCATATTTTAAAGCAAGCTTTTTGGACTGGTAGTCATAGACTGCCACCTTGCTTTGCAGCTACTGCTCCTGGCACATACAGCACAACACCTGGCTCCCAGTGCTGAAGTCCTCTCCCAGAGGAGCCACCATCATGGGAGAGCAGCCATGATTGGTGGCAGAGGGGGCCTGAAATTTCTTTTTATACAATATTTCCTCAAGGGAATTTCACTCAGACTTCATTTTAAAAGCTAAGTATACCAAGTTTGAAATAATGATGTGCAGTTGTGAGCTACTGGTAGTTACTTGATATTAACAAATATTGTCAATGACTACTTGGTTTATAAAATATTTCTTATTTCATATATATATATATATCTGAAAATCTTACAAACTTTTTTGCAATGAATGACAATGACAAGGAGCTAAATTCTAGAGTTCTCTGGAAACAAATAAAAACTGTGATTAGCGTGTATTCATTATTACTTAGAAGGATTTAGGTTGGAATTTTGGATAAAATAATACCTTTTGTTCCACTGACACTAGTAAAATCACAAAAGTATATATAATGCAGACATACCTCAAAATATTTATATATAAATATATTAATCTTAACCATTCTGTTTTTTTCCTTCAGTTCGACCAGAGTTTACTGATACTTTAGCAATCAAACAGGGATGGCATCCCATTCTTGAAAAAATATCTTTGGAAAAACCTGTTCCTAATAATACCTATATTACAGAAGGAAGTAATTTTTTGATCATAACTGGACCAAATATGAGTGGGAAATCTACATATTTAAAGCAAATTGCTCTTTCTCAGATTATGGCCCAGATTGGTAAGTCATGGCTTTACTTTATAACTACTAGTGATGATTCATTTTCAAAATGTTCTGTGCCTAATTTTTCAGATTCAGTTGCCTAATTAACACATGAATAGTTTTGTGTATATTCTCTTTCCTAAAACTGTAATAGTGTGTCTGTTATGCTAACCATAACTTTTACTATTTGGTGTTTTATTAAGCTCTGTCCAGTTTGGATTAAATTGCCCCCAAAATTTTATGGGACATTAGAGAAGTAGAAACTTTGTTACTAGTAACTTTTACTTTTATAGAAATTATTAGTAAATTGAATCATGTAGCTATTTTTGGGTTCAAAACCAAAAATGTGAGAAAAAGTGAAATGACTGATGTGAAATTTTCTCCAAATTATGTCAGGCAAAGAAAATAGTTCCATTAATTTTAACGTGGAAAACCAGTAACTTGATCATAGCAACTGAATGTTACACATACATATGTGTATATGTGTTTGTAAATGGCTGTTACTTGCCCAACATTATCATATATTTCTTGATTTAGAGGCACAATTTAACACCTATCCCTGGAAACTGGGTTTTTGTGAGGAGTATATGGATATTTAGCCCTAATGCCGTGGTTTTCAAACAGTGGTAGTTTTGATTCCATACCCTGAATCCTCAGAATTTTGAAACATCTTGGAGACATTTTTGGTTATCACAACTATGGAGAGTTTCAAGTACAGGAATGCTACTAATCATGCTATGATCCACAGGGCTTCTCTCCTCATCCCTTACCCTCTTACCAACACATAAGATTTACTGAGCCTATGATGTAATAGTGTCATGGTGAGAAACCATAGTCCAGTGTAATGAATTATAAAAAGAATACCAGATTAATAATATTGGTAATAGTGTAAATTCACCCTTAGTACTGGGAAAGGAAATGAGAGATAAATGAATGATGAGTAAATATTGTATTAAGTTTAAAGTTTTATTGGCATTTAAAGGATATCTTAGCTAATTTTCCTCTCCTTATAAGAATGCTATCTGATTCATAATACTCCTACTTCTACTTGAGAAGTTATCTATGAAGAGTTCTATCATTTAAAGAACAGGTTAGTTGTTGAACAGCTGTAATTGTTAGGTCATTCATTTTATTGAATTGAAATCTGACTTTCTGTAAGTCAGGACTTCTCAGTAGTTCTAATTCTTAACTTTGCTGTATTGGAGATTAGTATTTCTTCTTAATGTTAGCTCTTCAAATATTTAAAGATAATTTTTCTACTTCTCTTGTCACCATCTATCTTTACCCTCTGGAATATCTGAAAGTTTATATAATATAGCATATTGTCTGACCATAAAGGAAACAGTCAGACTTGAAAACGCTGGAAGTTAATAACATCTACTTTGGAGGCATGTACCAATGCCAGCACACTTGGTAAAGTGATAAGTATAAGTACATAACCGATCAAAAAGATAGGGTAAGTGTTGAAGAGATTTCACAAATAAGACCAGTGTAAGCAAATAATGAAGGATAGAATTAAAAGGGAGAGAACAATTCTGCCTGGGAAGCAGGACACACAGCAGACTCATAGAATGGCAAACGCCCCAAACAGCACTCCTGCCTCAGAATCAACCCTTGGGGCATTCAGATCTGGCTAAAAGGCCCATGAGAGTCTCACAGACATGGAAAGCCATGACACGGTGGCGAAAATAACCTAAATGAAAGATCCTGGTGAACAAGACCCCAGCAGAAGGAACAGGCCATCAAGGAGGGAGGCGCCTTTCTCTGAAGGGAGGAAGGAACCTCCACTGTGATACGGCCTTGACTAAACAAGTTCAGAGTTGATGAACTCAAGGGGCTTCCATAGCCTAGACAGCTCATAGCAAGAGTCTCGGGGGATTGCTGACGTCATAAATAAGAGTGCCAATTGTTAAATCTACAACGGGAGTCACTGGGTACAGGCTCCCCACATAGGATCTCTGTCCTTAATGTGTTTTACTATGAAACTTAAAGACAACACTACTAGTCGAACAATACCCTATATCTTGTGTGGTTGTGTGAGTGCAGCCTGTTGAAATCCTTGCTTAGTGTATACTAAGTTGATCTTCTGTATTTGAAGGTAATTGAAAATGAAACTCGATGAAGGGCGGGATGGGAGAGGGAGTGGGAGAGGGGAGGGCCGCGGGAGGGAGGGAGGTTGGGGGGGGGGAGCCACAACAATACAAAAGTTGCACTAAAAATAAAAAAAAAATAACATCTACTTTGGAGGTAGATCCAGCTTATCTGGTTAGTAGCAGTGTAATCATAGACAAACTGTTAACATCTTTAAGCCTCAGTTTTCCTATCTGCAAGGGAAGATTGGAATAGTATCTACTTCTAATATTTGTTTTAAGGACTCAGTGAGATCATATATATAAGATGTGTTTCTGTGTGGGTGCAAACTGTTGAAATCTTTACTTAATATATACTAAATTGATCTTCTGTATATAAAGATAATTGAAAATGAATCTTGATGTGAATGAAATGGGAGAGGGAGCGGGAGATGGGAGAGTTGCTTTTGGGAGGGAAGTTATGGGGGGGAAAAAGCCACTGTAATCCAAAAGCTGTACTTTGGAAATTTATATTTATTAGATAAAAGTTAAAAAAAGATGCTATAGATGTAAAAGTATGAAAAAGTAGGCAATTTTCTAGGCAGAGACAAGCGCACGTTCTTTTTTTTTTTTTTTTTTTTTTTTTTTTTTGACAGGCAGAGTGGACAGTGAGAGAGAGAGACAGAGAGAAAGGTCTTCCTTTGCCGTTGGTTCACGCTCCAATGGCCGCCGCGGCTGGCGCGCTGCGACCAGCACACCGCGCTGATCCGATGGCAGGAGCCAGGAGCCAGGTGCTTTTCCTGGTCTCCCATGGGGTGCAGGGCCCAAGCACCTGGGCCATCCTCCACTGCACTCCCTGGCCACAGCAGAGAGCTGGCCTGGAAGAGGGGCAACCGGACAGAATCCGGCGCCCCGACCGGGACTAGAACCCGGTGTGCTGGCGCCGCTAGGCGGAGGATTAGCCTAGTGAGCCGCAGCGCCAGCCTAAGCACATGTTCTAAAACATAGGAACAAAAATTAGTATGATATACCCGAATAATACGAATAGCTTTGTAGTCCTTTTTCTTTTCTTTTCTTTTTCTTTTTTTTGGGGTGTGTGTGTGTGTGTGTGGAACAAGGGGTGTGACTGTGATTATTGGCAAGATGTAAAACTAGAGAGATGGACAGGAATTAGATCATGTAGAACCTTAGGTACTTGACTGAAGAAACTGAATTTTACCCAACAGTCCATAGGGAGTGTGAAAATAGCGTGATTAGATTTGACTTTCTGGGGCCGGCACTGTGCTGCAGCGGGTTAAAGCTCTGGCCTAAAACTCCGGCATCCCAAATGGGCACCGGTTCTAGTCCTGGCTGCTTTTCTACCGATCCAGCTCTCTGCTATGGCCTGGGAAAGCAGTAAAAGATGGCCTGAGTCCTCAGGCCCCTGCACCCACCTGGGAGAACCAGAAGAAGCTCCTGGCTCCTGGCTTCGGATTGCACAGCTCTGGCCATTGCAGCCATCTGGAGAGTGAACCAACGGATGGAAGACCTCTCTCTCTGTCTCTGCCTCCTCCGTAACTCTGTCTTTCAAATAAATAAAATAAATCTTTAAAAAAAATCTATCTATCTTTTAGATAGATCACTCTGGCCGGTTGTAGACAAGACCAGAAGCAAAATACCAGCCAGGAGGCATCTGTAAAAATCTAGACAAGAAATGCTGAGAACATTTTTGGTGGAAGTTAACAGAGAGAAGAGAACAGAAAAATATATCAGTAAATATAAGCTATATTTTCTAGTTGGCATTTCATATTTGTTTTTCCTTGTCTAATCCTTCTGAAAGCATCTTTTGATATTAGAATGCCTTTTATATTTCATTTTTTACAGATATGGGAACATTAATCAGACTGATTTGTTCTCAAAAGATGGGTACTTTAGTTAGCACAATAATTTCTCATAGATCAAAATTCACCTTTTTATTTAATGTTTTAGTTTCATTGTGCTTCTGGGTATTTCTATATGTATGTAATAACATGGATGTTTCCTAATATACCTTTATATAATCTTATCAATTTGTTTTATAAGCATTTCCTTCAAAATTTCATGTTTTGAATGTTCTTGATCATTTAAATTATTTTAAATTTTTTCAAGTCTATAATAATGCCTTTCTGATATACTTGAACTTAAGCTATCTTATTTGAACTTTCAGATAACTTTATAAGGTAGGTTGGGCAACTATTTACTTTTATATGTAGGAAAGATGATTCTAGGAGAATAAGTGCTGTACAAAGTTATACAGTAAGTGATGGAAGTGGGACATGTCTTCTAACTCCATAGCTTGTGCTCTTTCTACCACATAGTTCTTGAAAATAATGCAAGTGCAAAATGTTCATAATACTTATATTTTATAAAAGCATTTCATTTTCTTAAAGATTTATCATATTTATTTGAAATCAGTGACAGATCTGTCTGCTGGTTCACTCCTAAGTAGCCACAACAGCTGGATGAGGGGCCACACTGAAACCAAGAACCAGGAACCCCATCCTGGTCTCTTATATGAGTGGCAGAGGCCTGATTACTTGGGACATCTTTCTCTGCTTTCCCAGGGATTAATAGGAAGATGGATTGAAGCAGAGGAGCCAGGACTTGAACAGTGTCTTGACATGGGATGCCAGCTTTGTGAGCAATGGCTTAACCCACTGTACCACAACTCCAGTTCCCCAAAGCATCTGAATTTACTTTGGCCTTGTATTTTATAGGATCTTATGTTCCAGCAGAATATTCTTCCTTTAGAATTGCTGAACAAATCTTTACAAGAATCAGTACTGATGATGATATTGAAACAAATTCATCAACATTTATGAAGGAAATGAAAGAGGTACCCAAACAAAACTTCTATGTTAAAAATGTATTAAATTCTTCCCATAATGGTCTATTATCATGTAAGAAAGTATCCCTTTACTAAAACATGCACATGTGTTTATATCCCTCTCCAAGAGCCAGAGGGCAGTCAAAGACAGCTTCCTAATTTCTCTCTTATGTGGAAATAGAAGTGAAAGTTTTGTTGGGGAATAGTTTTAAAGAAAAAGCTAGTGCTATTGAAAAATATAAGTATATTTTACTTTTTTATGGAATATATAAAAGGCTTAAGAAAACTAAGACCAATTTGGTATCATTTTGCATAGAACCAATTGTTCCTCTAATGCCTAATTCTAAAATAAAAGATCACTACATTGAAAGACTGTTTAAAAATCATCCTCTTATTTCCCCTTATAGAATTTCTACTTCTTTATCAAAATGTGTATTATCTCCTATTTCTTTTTCTTTGAAATTTTTATGTATTTCAGACACAGACAAAGAGGGAGACAGATAGTGAGCTCCCATCTTTTTGTTCATTGCCAAAATGTCTGCAATAGACCAAGAACTTAATCCAGGTCGCTCACAGGGTGGCAGAAATTCAACTATTAGACTCACCAGCTGCTGCTTCCCAGGGTGTGCATTAGTAGGAAGCTGGAATTAGAAGCGGAGTCAGGAGAAGAACCCAGGCACTGTGATATGGGATACAGGCATCCCAACTTGATGTCTTAACCACTAGGCAAAATAGCCACTCCTCATCACCTATTTCTGATCTGTGCAAATGTCAAGTAGTTTTGAGGGCTAATGAAGTTCAGCATAGCTCTCGGGATATCTGTATTAGGTAGGAATTACTGGAATTCCTATACATTTGGAGATGATTTCCTGCAAGTAGATGTGGAGTGAATAAAGCTACCATTCGCCACACAGTTTATAATGTTATTTCATATATTATGAATACTTACAGGGTAGTGTGGCAATATACTATGTACTTGAGGTATATATTTATGGTGTTAGCCTTCAAGAAGCATAGTTCCATTGAAAGATAAAATGTCCATGAAAATTACTATTGTGTCAGGATGTAATGAGGGTGGAATTCTATCTTTTGAGAAAGAGTGGAAAAGAAACACTTTCATCAATTTAAGTCTTGGTGTTTGTGGTCATGGATTCAAATTTATTTGTTAAACCAAGAATCAAGAATCAAGACTTGGGTACTTGGGGCAAGCTTTGTGGCACAGTAGATTAAGCCACCACCTGTGATGCTGGCATCCCATATAGCACTGGTTACAGTCCCTACTTCTCCGCTTTCTATCCAGTTCCATGCTAATGTACCAGAGAAGGCAATGGAAGATGGCCAAGTGCTTGGGGCCCTGACACACACATGAGAGACTGGAATGAAGTTCTTGGCTCCTGGCCTTGGCCTGGCCCAGCCCCAACTATTGTGGGAATGAATCAGTATTTGGAAGATATCTCTTTCTCTCTCCCTCTTTCTCTGTAACTCTGCCTTTCAAATTTTTTTTTTTTTAATACTTAAGTACTTTTTCCTAGATTCCCGGTCAGGGTGCCGGATTCTGTCCCAGTTGCCCCTCTTCCAGGCCTGTGCTGTGGCCAGGGAGTGCAGTGGAGGATGGCCCAGGTGCTTGGGCCCTGCACCCCATGGGAGACCAGGATAAGTATCTGGCTCCTGCCATCGGATCAGTGCGGTGCGCTGGCCGCAGTGCGCTGGCCGCGGCGGCCATTGGAGGGTGAACCAACGGCAAAAGAAGACCTTCCTCTCTGTCTCTCTCTCTCACTGTCCACTCTGCCTGTCGGTAAAAGAGGAAAAAAAGAGACAAAGAAAAGAAACCCCACCACCAAAAGAATATAGGGAGATGTAGAGATAAATTGAGAGATGGTTTTAAGTATTATGTGACAGTAATTGCTTAGTTGTTTTTGGAGAAGAAAATGGCCATCCTTGTACTTTATTTAAACATTCAATGCATAGTTTTGTTTCATTTCACTGTTTCTAAAATATAAATATTTTACATAATGATTATTTACTCTGTTGTCTCATGAACGTAAGTAGATGTCTATTTATGTACACTTCAGCTATGCTTTTGAAATTATTAGTCATGAGATATTTAGAAAGAAAAACAATGCATTATTTTCTGCTCAGCAGGATTTCTCTACAAAAATGCATTTCATATAAACTAATGAAGAAACTGAATTTCTCCTTTATTTATATAACTGTGACAGCTGTTTGGTTACAATGAATAATATTGAAACTATATTTTCAGATAGCATATATTTTACATAACGCTAATGACAAATCACTCATACTAATTGATGAACTTGGCAGAAGTACTAATACAGAAGAAGGTATTGGTATATGTTATGCTGTGTGTGAATATCTGCTGAGCTTAAAGGTATACTTTTCTATTTTCAATGTATTAATTTTTAGTCCTTTTCTATGTCCTTTATATACTTATCATGATTGGATTTTACAGGGATCTAAAGTAACTTTTTAAGTGATTTTAGATAGAAAACACGTACCATAGCATTTACATTTTTGTTTGTTCATATTTGACGGAAGTGGGATTAATTAGTATGATGAGGCAGGTGTTGTGGTACAGGGCAATAAGCTGACACTTGGGATGCCCATATCTCATATCAGAATGCCTAGGATGGAGTTTCCTCTGCCTCTGCTTCTGCTCTAGCTTCTTGCTAATGAGACTGGAAGACAGCAGGTGGTGGCTCAAGTACTAAGATATTGTCACTCATAGGAGACACAGATGGAGTTCCCGGATCCTGACTTTGGCTTTCCCCAGCTCTGGCTATTGCCCGCATTGGTGGAGTAAACCAGCAGATGAGATGTATTTCTTACTCTTTGCTCTTTGTGTCTCTCTTTCCCACTCTGCCTCTCTCCCTCCCTTTCTTCTTTCTTTTCTTTCTTCCTTTTCTCTCTCTCTGCCATTTATTTATTTATTTATTTATTTATTTATTTTTCTCTCTCTGCCTTTTAAATAAATAATATTTCAAACAATTAGTATGGTAGCCATTGTATGGATAAGGAAAGGAAGAAATTTAAAAAAATAGAAATAATGTGAAAATCAGTTGGCTTAAATTTGGTGAATTTAAGTGGCAAAATTATGAAGACATTTCAGTAATTATCTCCACATGTAATAATGTTGACAGAGATGTCACAATGTACAGTAAGACTTCAGGCATCTGAGGTAACTATAGAAAATCTATTTTGCATAACTAAAATTTTGTTCCTTTAAAAAACAGTTTTTAACAAATCAGCTGTATTAAACAATGATTTTTGCTCTTATTATTAAGATATTTTATAAATCATCTTTTCAGATGATCACTTAAAATATATATGAAAAAATTTTAAGATATATTTTTCATATTTAAAATAAGATGAAGTCTTTATCTTAAATGAGTCTGCAGTGAATAAGAAAATTGTGATTTTATACTTAAAAAAAGTATGAGTCTAATGTTGATAGATAATTTTTGTAATTCTAACATGTCAATCAGAATTTTAAGATGTATATGTAATTTAAGATGAAAGCTCAAGTAGTATTTGTATTGGTTAATTTTACATGTCAGTTTGGCTAGACCACACATCTCCCAGACATTAGGCCAAACATTACTCTGAATGTATCTGTGAAGGTTGTTCTGGATAATATTAACAATAGAATTGTAGATTGAAGGGGCTGGCATTGTGGCATTGTGGGTTCAGCTGCCATCTGCTATGCCAGCATCCCATATGAGCACCGGATCAAGTCCCAGCTGCTCTGCTTCCAGTCCTTCCTGATAATGCTCCTGTGAAATCATTGGAGGATGAACCAAGTGCTTAGGCCCCTGCCCCTACTTGGGGAGACCTGATTGAAGCCACTGGCTTTTGCATGGCCCAGCCCTGGCCTTCGTGGCCATTTGGGGAGTGAATCAGTGGATGGAAGATTTATATTCTCTCTCAAATAAATAAGTACATCTTAAAACAAAAAAGAATTTTAGACTAAGTAAAGCAGATTGCCCTCCCCAACATGTGTAGGTCCCATCCAATAAATTGAAAGCCTAATAAACAAAAAACCAAATTTCCCAAGAATAAGAGGGAACTACTGGTGCAGGTGCCATGGCTCACTTGGTTAATCCTCTGCCTGCGGCGCCGGCATCCCACATGGGTGCCGGGTTCTGGTCCCAATTGCTCCTCTTCCGGTCCAGCTCTCTACTGTGGCCTGGGAGGGCAGTGGAGGATGGCCCAAGTGCTTGGGCCCCTGCATCTGCATGGGAGACCAGGAGGAAGCACCTGGCTCCTGGCTTCAGATCGGCGCAGTGCTGGCCGTGGCAGCCATTTGGGGAGTGAACCAACAGAAGGAAGACCTTTCTCTCTGTCTCTTTCTCTCACTGTCTATAACTCTACTTGTCAAATAAATTAAAAATAAATAAATAAATAAAAGAAGGAACTACTGCTTGACTTCCTTCATTGTGGATAATTCGTTGTTTTTTGGCTTTGTACTCAAACAGAAATATCAGCTCTTTCTAGGTCTTGACCCATTGGCTTCAAACTGGAACTACAACATAGTTGCCTGTTTCTCTAGTTATATCCCACTATAGATCTTGGCACTTGTCAGTACCCATAATTGCATGGGCCAGTTCCTTATAATGACTCTCGTTACATACACACATGCTCTATTAGTTCTCTTATCTGCAGAACCCTGACTAGAGTTTGGTTCTGGTTTGATCTGACAAAAGAGATATACAAAGTATCACTATCGAGTGCTCTTAACCATTTAAAAGAAGCAAAGATCCAAGAAACTGTGTATATAATATTTTCAAATATTTCTGGCAAAATAATGAGTATAATAAAATTGGCTAGTTGTTCCTTACATTACTGGACAAAGATGGGAAAGAAAAGGATTAGCTCAAACGTTAGAGTTCCCAGCTTATGGCCACATAAATGATGTGGAGTCTTCTATATGTGCTCTGAAGGATATCCTTATCTCCTGTAGCCGTAGGCTGAGATAACTGAAAATCCAACCCTGAATCTCATTCTGTGATTGATTAAATTACAATACAAGTTGAATTATGGGGTATCTACTTTTAAAGTAAGGATACTAGTTGGGAAGGAATGGGATACTAAAAGTTGGAATAGGAATGTGCAGGGAGAAACTTCTGAAGTTGGAGACATTTAACCCATAAATTCTGATGAGTGTTGCTAATAGAAGATACATCTTTATCCCTAGTTGAAGTACCCTCATCACTCCATGTGAAAGCAATGGACTCCCCTGAGGTAGTTACTATGCAAGACAATGCGGTCTTCTAATGACCCACTCCCACCATGCCTCTTTTTTTCTAGACCTATAATTAAACTTGAGTCCCTTTAGGTCTCTAAAGATGAGATGCAGAATGTAATCCATGAGGAGGTACATTATACTTCAAGAGTATACTTGGATTTTCTAATTCATACAGACAGAAATCCAGGGACATATGAGGGAATTAATCCTTTGTCAGTGGCATAGTTTGCAGATAATTTCTCCCATTCTGTTGGTTTCCTCTTCACTTTGCTCAGTGTTTCTTTTGCAGTGCAGAAGCATCTCAATTTGATATAGTTCCATTTGTCAATTTTGGCTTTGGTTGCCTTTGCTTTTGGGATCTTTTCCAAGAACTCTTTGCCTCTGCCAGTGTCTTGCAGGGTTTTCTGAATGCTCTCTAATTTGACGGTATTGAGTCATAAATTTAGATTTTAATGGCTCAATTTAGGTAGGTTGTATGTGTCCAGGAATCTATCCATTTCTTCTAGGTTTCTTGATTTGTTGGCATATAACTCTTGTAGTAATTTCTGATGATTTTTATTTCTGTGTTGTCTGTTATTATACTTCCTTTTTCATCTCTAATTTTATTGATTCAGGTCTTCTCCATTTTTTTTTTTTTTGGTTAGTTGGGCCAATGGTGTGTCAATTTTATTTATTTATTTATTTTTAAAAAACAGCTTTTCCTTACACTACTCTTTTTTCCCCCAAGAAACCTTTTATTTCAGGATTACAGACTTCATATACTTCATAATTACAACTTTAGGAACATGTGATTCTTCCCTCTGTAAGCACCCTCCGACCTACACTCCCATTTCACTTCCTCCTCCCTCTCCTAGTCCCATTCTTATTTTTTTAACAAGATATATTTTCAATTAACTCTATACACATATGATTAAGTTAAGAGTTCAACAAATAGTATGGAAAAAAACTGTTCCTCAGTGGTCAAGACAAGGGCTGTTCAGAGTCATTGCTCTCTAAGTATCAATTTCAATTCAATAGATTGTCTTTTAGTGCTCTATTAGGTCAGAGAAAACATAATGGTATTTGTCCTTCTGGGACTGGCTTATTTCAATAAGTATGAGATCTTCCAGTTTCATCCATTTTGCAAATGAATGGATTTTTTTTTTTATTGCTGTGTAATATTCCATCATGTACACATCCCATAATTTCTTTATTCAGTCTTCAGTTGACTGGCATTTGGGTTGATTCTATATCTTAGCTATTGTGAATTGAGCTGCATCACTGGTCTTTGGTTTTTTTTTGTTTAAATTTTGTTTATTCTCTAATTTTATTATTTCTTTTCTCCTACTAGTTTTGGGTTTGGTTTGCTGTTATTTTTCTAGGTCCTTGAAATAAATTGATAGCTCATTTATTTGGTGCCTTTCTAATTTCTTGATGTAGGTGCCAATTGCCATAAAATTTCCTCTTAACACTGTTTTTCCTATATCCTACAAGTAGTAATATGTTATATTGTCATCTCCATTCATTCCTAGAAATTTCTTTATTTTTCTTTTGATTACTTCAGTGACCCACTGTTCATTCAGGAGCATGTTGTTCAAGAGATTCTTGAGTTGTTGATTTCCATCTTCATTCTCTAATGGTCAGAGAAGATATATGGTATGATTTTGATTTTTTTTTTAATTTTCTGAGACTTGCTTTATGGCATATAGTCTATCCTAAAGATAGTTCCATGTACTGGTGAGAAGAATGGGTATTCTGCATCTGTAGGATGAAAAGTTTTGTAAGTATCAGTCACGTCAATTTGGTCTATAGTGTTGATTAACTCTTGTTTCCTTGCTGATTTCCTGTCTGGTTGATCTATCCATTGCTAAAAGTAGAGTATTGAAATCCCCCATTACTATTGTGTGGCAGTCTATATCTCCCTTTAGATCCATCAACAGTTCTTTTAAGTAACCAGGTGACCTGTAATTTGGTGCATATAAATGTTAAATAGACATATCTTCCTGTTGAACTGATCCCTTAATCATTACATAGTACCTTTCTTTGTCTCTTTTAACAGTTTTTGTGTTAAAGTCCATTTTGTCTTATATTAGGGTGGCTACACCAGCTCTTTTTTGGTTTCTGTTACCATGCAATATCTTTTTCCA